GTCCAGTGATTGAGGCTAGCTCTTTCTAAGGGACCCAACTGAATAGGTGTTTTCCTTCACCTGAGGACGGAAACAGATCCAGTTTCCGAAACGTCGTGTTTTTATTTGTTATCTTAAAAACCAGGACGATGGATAAAGTCCAAAAACCCAATATATCAGTGTACATCAATATAGTCCTACTGCCTCAGAATTTTTCTGGGAGAATAGAGGAAAATCACGGAAAACCTCAGATAATATGGTTGGTGTTCCTGTCGAGATTCGAACCAAGCACGCCAAGCACCTTCTAAACAAAAGTCACAAGCGTCAGCACTTGAGCTAATTCTCTAGACCAAATATATCATGTTGACGTAATATTATATAGGAACATTCCGTTCTGTGGGAAATTATCGATTTTTATATTTTTACTCCAAAAGGGCCACGTGACCTTCATCCGATTCAGTAGCAGACATCAACTTGATGGGCTCTTACGAATCAGATCCGTCAAATCGAGTAAGAAGAGAGTGCATCTGAAAGTCCCCACTGCGAGCAACAACATCAGCACGTAGGGTACCTTCTGGGATGTGACACCGCGTTTTTTGCGGTCCATTTTCAAATTCGAAGAACAAGCCAAGCAGGCAGAGTTGTCCCCCGTACAGCACAGCGTAGCAAACGTAGCATTTCTGACCTGTCGAGTTTGGTCATTGTAATTCTTTAAGCCGCTGAGTCCTATGTTGGTTTCATGGCCGTATTTCTGTCCAAATCTTTTGAAACTTGGTAGCGCAGTTGGCTGAGGACCTATGCTACAAGCCGCAAGGTCACAGGATCGAATCCCGATGAGGTCATTGGATTTTTCGATTTACCTAATCATTCCAGTCACAATATGACCCTGAGGCCGACTCAGCCTCTAACAGTAACGAGTACTACGAATTTTTCTGGGGGTGGGGAAAGGGCGGCGGGCGCGTAAGGCTGACAGTCTTACCGCCATCCATGAGCCGATTGTCTATAAGATGTGGGATCCTCGACGTCTCACAACCCTATGGGACTTCACTGCCCGTTACAGAGACAGCTTCACATTTTACCTTTTTATCTCTATGCGTGTATTATAACCTCCTCTGTGGGCTAGTGGTTAGAGTTCCTGCCTACAGATTCAGAGGTCCCGGGTTCGATTCCCGGCGCAACTAGATTTTCTGAGAAGTAGTGGGTCTGGAACGGGGTTCACTCAGCCTCGTAAGGATAATCCAGAAGCTATTTGAAGGAAATAGCGGCTCCGGTCTAGAAAACCGAGATTAACGGCCGTGGGGATTCGTTGCGCTGACCACGTGACACCCTCTATCCGCTAAATTTGGCACTAACTTCACCGATAAGCGGCGGTCGCTCGGTCGGTGTAGTTCGCTTGCGGACTACAGGCCACGGAGTTTTTGTTTTGTTTTTTGCTTCTTGTGTGCATTATATTTGTGTACTCTACTATAAGGAGCTGTTTTCCTATTGTGAGGTTATGTAAACTGACGGATGGCCGCACAGGTTTTCGTCTGCAAATTTTGGATATCTTGGTTAGTCGTACTTATTTGCATGTTCGCTGAACAGTAAAAAGTCTTATGTGGGCGGGTTGCCGGACCCCAGTCAGTCTGCGCCTGGAGTGTTCCAGGTGGGCGCCTCTGTCAGCAGCATTTCCTGTTCTTAAATTTTACGTGTTCTTTTTTTTTTTGCAAGATAATCTGTTAGTTCGCCTAGCGTAGGAATTTGGAAGAACCGGTGAAAGTCACCGACTACAGAGTTCCGCCTGGGGCCACTGCTAAGCGGAAACGGTGTAGCTTAAGGCTGCAGCCAGCCATATCGAACAACCTTGTGTCAGTATGGATCCAATTAAAGTTTCAAAGAGGGAAAGTTTAGCTTTTGCAGAAAAATAATTTCAAAGGCAGATATCTGGATTCGGTATCCCTCATGTTGAAAACCTACTGGGAAGACGTCTGAAACATGTGTTTTGATTTTCTCCCTAAATAAGGCCATAAATATGCAGGGTGAAGATGCCTCAGGCCTGAATATACATCTTTTTAAAAAATGCTTTATTACTCTTCCAGTACTACACTCGGCCCCTTTACAATTCATTTTTATAATTAAAAACTTTTTAAATAATTCGAGTGAGGCGGTCCTGGTCTAATTGAGAAGGTACAGCAATGAGGTCAGCTTCTTCCTGCCTTTGGAAGATAAGAAATGCAAAGGGCATTAATTAAATGATTTGTAACTTTCTGTCTGTGATGGGTGAGTCTGGAGGGAGGGGTGAGATATATCCATGACTTGGTGCACAAGAATTCCACATATCATTCCTCCCTACCAGAGACATGAAACCAAATCCGTGGAAAGGAACAATTATTATTAAGTATTTTAAACCAATCAGTGTGAATTTCTTTTTTTCTTTTTTTTTTATACTTTTGTAAAATTCAGTGGAAGGGAAGTGAACGTCTGACAACGCTCCGGGATAAAATTTCCATTGTTCGGATCCTTTACCTCTATTGTCTCTATTAGAAAATCAAGATTGAAACGACATTTTTCTAATAATTTTCCTTTCCAAAATGGTTGAATAAATGTAANGCAGTTTCTGCGTAAAACATGACCAATCCAATTAGCCTTCCGTTTTCTTATTTCGTGTAGGATATTCCTCTGCTCACTGACTCTAATTAACACTTCTTCATTTCTCACATAATCGGTCCAACTGATCTTCTCCATCCTTCTCCAACACCACATTTCGAAACTTTCCATGTGTTTCTGATCTACTGCCCTAAGTGTCCAAGTTTCAGCCAAATACCATAAAGATAAACACAAACTTTAATTAACGCTCATAAGGAGGTTTGTCTAGGAGCAAACGGAGAGAAAATTAAGTATATGTTGCCGTCTCGTCACCAAAATACAGGACAAAATTACGACACAACAATAGGAAACAGATGTCTTGACAATGTGGCACAGTTCAGATATCTTGGAAAGACAATAACAATCAAAACCTGATTGAGGAGAAAATTAAGAAGAAATTGAACTCGGGTAATGGTTGTTACCATTCAGTCCAGAACCTTTTGTCTTCTTGTCTGCTGTCCAAAAACATAAAAATTAGAATATAAAAAACTACGAGTGTAATTTTGCCTGTGGTTCTGTATGGGTGCAATACTTGGTCTGTGACATTAAGGGAGGAACACAGACTGAGGGTGTTTGAGAACAGGGTGTTGAGGAGAACATTTGGACCGAAGAGAGGTGAAATGACGGAAGGTTGGTAAAAACTACATAATGAGGAACTTCATAACTTGTACTCTTCTCCAAGTATAAGTATAGTAATCAAGTCAAGAAAGATAAGCTGTGAAAGGGATGTAGCACAAATGGGGGAGAAGATGAATACATGCAGAATACTGGTGGGAAAGCCAGAAGGAAAGAGACCACTAGGAAGGCCAAGACGTAGGCGGGTGAACAATATTAAAAGGGATCTTAGAGAGATCGGATGGGATGGGATGGATTGGATTCATCTGGCTCAGGCTACGGATTAGCGGAGGGCTGTTGTGAACACGGTAATGAACCTTCGGGTTCCATAAAATGCTGGGAAGTTCTTGACTGAACAGTTAGCTTCTTCTCAAGAAGGGCTCAGTTCCATGAGTGAGTGAATGAACATTTACTCTCTCGTTCCAGTATTTGACATTTCGGTGACTAATTGATTAATTGCCTGAGTTACCAACTGAAATCTATTTCGGAAGAAGAGTTTCTTATTGTCCTATGACATATTTCACCTTTGGCCAGCTTAAATTTTTATAAGTTCTACCTCACAGCAACCTGTCTCCTTGCTTACTTTCTTGCTGCCTACCCACGAAGCCACACCAAGTCAGATACCTGTCTAAGTACCTAAGTGCAAATAAATCTGTCCGTAGTTGTGCGTGTGCATACTCGTATGTGAGAATTTTATGTTTGCCTTCATGTCCGCACATCTATCTCTCAGTTTGTCAGTTACTTCTGGAATGATGTTGGTATGTATACATCATTTTTTCCAAATAATTTTTGCACATGTTTCTTGTTTCCCAAATGAATGAATGTATGTACAAGGGGTGGGCCTTCTTGGCCCTTACACCGCGACCACAATGATCTATTGTGCTTGTTTCCCAAATGGTTGATACTCGTAATTTCCAAGGGAATTAATTTTTTCTGCATTAAATAATCCCATATCGAATGTTGTGTCTGAATCGCTTGCAGGTTCAAAGAGCACAATGATTTCTGTATAGTGCACGAGTATTTAAAGATTACATTCTTTTTTTTCTGTCTGTTACAGTGAAGTAACATTTACCATCAATGGGAAGACTTACACAGGTATGCAAATGATTTGACTTCTGATAAGAAGGAACGGTACAGGGCGACAAACTTGTAGTCGTTCTTGTCATATCCATCATCTATCCCTATACTTCACTTACCTCACACCATCATGGCCACTTACATAGGAGACACGCCAAAACATGACAGAACACACTTTGCAAACCGCTTCAAGAAAGCAAGAGCCTAATGAAGACCTGCAAATACTGACTGCATTAAAAAATGTTTTGAGGGGCTATGCTACAAACAGGAAGGTCGCGGGTTCAAGTCCCGATGAGGTAATTGGATTTTTTCAATTGACCTAATCGTTCCAGCCGCACTAGGCGCTGGGGTTTACTCAGCCTCTAACAGAAATGAGTACCAGGAATTAATTAATTAATTTTTCTGAGAAATAAAGCGCGGCCGGAGCGTAAGGCTGACAACCTTGCCGCCATCTATTAGCCGATTGTCTAGATAGTGTGGGACCCTCAATGTCTCACAACCCTATGGGCCTTCATGGCCTGGTACAGGGATAGCTCTTTTTTTTACTTTATTAAAAATGTTATGTGTTAAGGTATTGTTTACTTATTTTGAAGAGTATGCAGAGTACTGTACATGATCACTTTTCAGAATTTGCTAAAAATATAATAAGACAACTGAATAAAAACCATATTAATTGATACAATTCTAATAAAGACACATTTGTATAAACATCTTTGCTAGTACTATAATTTTAACATACTTATTTTTATGGAATACAATCCAGAACCTACTGCTGGTTATCGAAAATTTAAATAATATGGGAAGAGAATGAGCAAAATATTAAGGAAATTAAACACACAATCCATTTCCAAAGAAATTCCATATCAACAGATGCGTTAAATACGTCATTTAAGTCTGTAAGTGACACAAAATTGTTAACTTTTCACCCTTCAAATAATGAAAATCGCTTCCCCACAAATTCATTCTCAGTCTTAGAACTACAAACAGATTTCTTTTAGTGTGTTATAGTGACATCTGTGGAAGAGTTACCGGTAATTAAGCTATTGATGATTTAATAGATTGTAAGAGTAGTTGGCTTCATTTCCTGAGTTATTTCTCTTAATAATTTTTTTTCTGCAAAACTACTTCCGTTTAAAAAATATATATGTGTTGGAAAATAGCTGGAGGAGGGCTAACATAGCTAGACATGTTTGTGATAGTGGATTGAAAATGTGAACAAATGCTCAGAGTGAATTGTTGAAAATGTAAATTTCTTTATTGCAATCCGCCTTCCTACCAGACCGGATATAATACACATAAATAGAGGTACCTGTTAAAGAGTATTGAAACTAGACAATACTGCACGCATACCAACGGGCCTCCAAGCATTTTAACCGCTTCATACGTGTATACAAGCAAGAAAACTGTCGCCACATGTCCGCAAAAACACTATGACGTAACATTACGATTGCAACAACCTCCCTTAATAGGACCTATTATATGTATAGTTCTCAATTATATTTTAATTATGTAATTTACCTTGTTTAAGATCATTATCGTTTATTGTATTTTATTTTTTATATTATTATATTAAGTTATATTGCACCGAATTTGTGTTGTTTCTAACTGGTGACTTTGCTCTATAGTCAGTGGAGACGTTTCACCAGCCACTTCTCTCAATACCTACATACGGAACAATGCCAACCTGAGAGGTACAAAAGTTATGTGCCATGAGGGTGGCTGTGGGTCTTGCATTGTGGCTGTGACATCGAAAAATGCTTTCACGAAAGAGACCTCAACCTATGCAGTCAATTCGGTGAGTTTTTTCTGTCTCCATTATTTACCATACTGAGATTTGACAAATTAAACATTGAGGGGGAAGCAAATGTTAGCGTCAGTAAGTTTCATTTACTTGACTGTACTGGTGATGTCAATTTGTTATGAAACAGGAATATCATAACATTGTTATAGGCTTGTAAGAAAGGTGGTCTAGGAATAAACATACAAAAAAAATTGTATACGTTCATACGTATAATTTATGTTTTATAGCCAGTAGGAGAAGATAAATTCTCTCCTGTGTCTAAGTACTATGTGACGACGTTAAGGTTGTACACACTGGTCCATTCGTTAGAATTATAACTTACAGATATTCCTTAAATTCTTTGCAGGTATAGCCATAAGATATAAAACAACTTATAATAAAAAAATGAACTCCGTGGCCTGTGGTCCGCAAGTGAACTATACCGACCGAGCTACCGCAGCTTGTTGGCAAAATTAGTGCCAACTTTCCCGGATAGAGGGTGTCACACGGTCAGCGCAAAGAATCCCCACGGCCGTTAGTCTCGGTTTTCTCGACCGGAGCGGTTATTTCCTTGAAATACCTCCTCAATTATCCTCACGAGGCTGAGTGAACCCAGTTCCAGAACCACTACTTCTCAGAAAATCGGGTAGAGCCGGGAGTCGAACCCGGGACCTCTAGGTCTGTAGCCAGGAACTCTGACCACTTGACCACAGAGGCGGTCAACTTATAATATAAATACAAAATTTAATACAGTGACAAATATAAATATAAATGTTAATATGTAATTCGCCGACTTAGAACTAAGACAAAGTATTCACAGAAATTTCCAAAATAACGTATATTACAGTTGGCACTATGCTACAAACGGGAAGGTCTCGGGTTCGATTCCCAATGAGGTCGTTGGATTTTTCATTTGACCTAATCATTCCAGTCCATGTTAGGTGGGTCCCGCAACCTCTGGTTGTGGATGGACAAGACGCCCTCCAGATATTGAGGGAAGCTGCGAATATATTGAATAAGCAGTCGCGGACAGCTGACAAGGAGGGTTGGGCGTGGGGCAAACAACTCCTCACCTTAAAAAATAATCCAGTTATGAAAATGAACACAAAACCTCGGACCTGGACGGATCCTCTGGATAAACAACCTAAGCTAAGAAAAACGGACATGAGATTCGGAACNAGGTGGCATCGCACAAGCAGGAGACTATACATTTTTCTATGGAAAGGGGAATGAAAACCATGAATAAGGTACAGGTTTTTTCGTACATAAGAGAAACGTATCAGCAGTCAAGAGGGTAGAGTTCGTTAATGATAGGATATCATATATAATACTAAATGGTCGCTGGTGTGATATCATTGCTATGAATGTTCACGCCCCAACAGAAGATAAAAAATTGATTATATAAAGGACAGGATCTATGAAGAACTAGATCATGTATCTGATAAATTCCTGAAGTACCCTATGAAAATTTTGTTAGGAGATTTCAATGCCAAAGTATGGAGGGAAGACATTTTCAAACCAACAATTGGGAATGAGAGTTTGCACGAAATTAGTAATGATAATTGAGTTAGAGTAGTAAATTTGCCACACCGAAAAATCTTACTCTCAAAAGTACAATGTTCCCAAATCGTAACATCCATAGATTTACTTGGACATCTGATGGGAAGATATACAATCAAATCGACCATAGTTTGATAGATAGGAGAAGACATTCAAATATACCTGATGTGTGATCATTCAGGCAGCATTTTGTGATACTGATCAATACCTGGTGGTGGTAAAGGTTAGGGAAAGACTGTCTGTGAGCAAACAAACAACACACAAAGTTCATATGGAGAGGTTCAATCTCAAGAAATTAAATGAGGTAGAGGGTACAGAGCAGTATCATATTTAAATCTCAAATAGGTTTGTAGCTTAGGTAAACTGTGTTGAAATCTCAAACATATTTGCAGCTTTGGAAAACTTAGACACTGAGGTGGATGTTAATAAAGCCTGGGAAACTCTTAGAGAGAATATAAGAATTGCTGCCAAGGAGAGTCTAGGTTATTATGAACTGAAGAAGCATAAGCCATGGTTTGATGAAGGATGCTCAAAATTATTGGACCAAAGAAAACAAGTCAAATTGCAGAGTTTACAGGATCCAAGCAAAATAAATATGGAAAATCTGACACAATATAAGATTTAAAACCAGCAGGCATTACAGGTATAAAAAGAGGGAAGAGGAGGCGAAAGATTATGTTATAAAATCCATAAGCTAATTACTTCTATTTGGCATAAGTAAAAATGAGACAGTACATCAGATATTTGCAGACTTCAAGAAAGTCTGTGATTCAATTAGGAGGAAATATTGCACAATATTCTAATCAAGTTTGGGATACCCATGAAACTAGTTAGGCTGATTAAAATGTGTTTAAATGAAACGTATTGTAGAGCCTGTATAGGTAAATATTTGTCTGATAAATTTCCTATCCAGAATGGTCTAAAACAAGGAGATGCTTTATCGCCACTCCTTTTCAACTTTACTTTAGAATATTGCATTAGGAAGGTCCAGGAAGACCAGGTGGGACTGAAATTGAACAGGACACATCAGCTGTTGTTCTATGCTGATGATGTGAATTTGCTGGGTGATAAAATAGATACCACAAAGAAAAACACACAAACTTTAATTGACACGAGTATGGAGGTTGGTCTAGAAGGAAACACAGAAAAAAACTAAGTATATGTTGCTGTCTTGTCACCAAAATACAGGGCAAAATCATGACATAAAGAGAGGAAACAGATGTTTTGAAAATGTGACGCAGTTCAGATATTTGGGAACAACGATAACAAATCAAAACCTGATTCAGGAGGAAATTAAGAGGAGATTGAACTCGGGTAATGCTTGCTACCGTTCAGTCCAGAACTTTCTGTCTTTTCGTCTGTTGTCCAGAAACATAAAAATTGGAATATACAAAATTATAGTTTTGCCTGAGGTTCTGTATGGGTGTGAAACTTGGTCTCTGACATTAAGGTAGAAACATAGACTGAGGGTGTTTGAGAACAGGGTGTTGAGGAGAATATTTGGACTGAAGAGAGATGAAGTGACAGGAGGTTGGAGAAAACTGCATAATGAGGAGCTTCATAACTTGTACTCTTCTCCAAGCATAATTAGAATGATCAAGTCGAGGAGGATGAGGTGGGCAGGTCATGTAGCACGAATGGGGGAGACGAGTACTGAGTATAGGATATTGGTGGGAAAGCCAGAAGGATAGAGAACACAGGGAAGACCAAGGCGTAGGTGGGTGGACAATATTAGAATGGATTTTAGAGAGATAGGATGGGATGGTATGGATTGGACTGATCTGGCTCGGGATAGGGACCAGTGTAGGGCTCTCGTGAACACGGTAATGAACCTTCGGGTTCCATAAAATGGTGGGAAAGTCTTGAGTAGCTGCAGAATTGGCGGCTCCTCAAGAAGTGCTCAGCTCCTTTAGTAAGTAATCAATCCTGTTACACTATGGCCCTCGGGTCGACTCAGTGTCTAATCAGAAATGTTGTATTTTAGCGTCCTGTTGCACTGATTCTCGTCCATGATATGTATATTGTCAGTCTTGTAGTGCACTCAATCTCACATGTCACTTCACTACATGTTTCGGCATCACTGTGCCATCCTCAGGTGTGTTATTTACAGATTACAACTCTCGTAGCCAAAAAAGGACACATCACAAGACACAATATACATAAAAATATAGGAAGAATAACTCCCATAGTGGAAGAATGACGTAGTACGCGAGTTTGAGTTAAAACGTGTAAGATGATGGATATTAAGAAATTTTTATATATATAAATTATATTATAGTTAGAGAAGAGTGTGCATTTTAGATAATTTTATAAACGACACATAATGGGGAGCAATGCAATAGCTTGACGTAAATAACACACCTCAGGATGGCACAGTGATGCCGAAACATGTAGTGAAGTGACATGTGAGATTGAGTGCACTACAAGACGGCCAATATACATATCATGGACGAGAATCAGAAATGAGTACAAGGAATCATCCTTGGGGGTACAGGGCGGCCGGAGCGTAAGGCTGACGTCACCTCCATCTGTAAGCCGATTTTCTAGAAAGTGTGGCACCTCGAAATCTCACAACCCTAGGAGCCTCCACGGCGTTTTGCAGGGATAGTTTTACTTTTTACCTATCTCACAGTTAGTATTCTTCAAAATAAAATACATTTGACATAAAAGGCGAAAATTTTGATTAAACCTTCTCAAAATAAGAGTATAGCGTAGCTATCTACGCCGCTGGACCGCAGAATTTTTTAGCTTCAGTGGCTATCTTGACTTATACATATATGGTTCTAATAAAAGTTAAACAAGTTAAGTTAGAACCGTATATATAAGCCAAGACAACCACCGAAGCAAACAAAATTCTTCGGTCCAGCGGCATACGATGTAAATAAGGCTGGTCACGATGTTTACAGAAATGCAGAAATTATTTTGATTAAGTTGGCTTCAGTATATTTTCATAATTTTGGAAACTTGGGAAACGTTCATAAGCAACTCTGCAGTATGACGTACTCTGGGATCGGCTGCTGTTTCAAGGGAGTCAGATATGTAGAACACACGAGAGGGTCTGTCCTTTGACTGAAAGCGACAAATGTCCGCAAGTTTTCCAAGGTTATTTAATGCAAATATAGTTGTGAGGGACATGCCTTCGAGATCTGAATTTAAAACAAGAAGCACAACCAATAGACCGCCACTGTGGTCTAGTGGTCAGAGTGCCTGGCTATAGATCCAGAGGTCCCGGGTTCGATTCCCAGCGATACAAGATTTTCTAAGTAGCAGGTCTGGAAAGAGGTCCATCAGCCACGTGAGGATAATTGAGAAGCTATTTCAAGAGAATGACGACTCCGGTCTAGAAAACCGAGATTAAGGGCCATGGGTATCCGTTGAGCTGTCCACGTGGCACCCTTTATGCGCAAAAGTTGGCACTAACTTCGCCGACAAGCGGCGGTCGCTCGATCGATATAGTTCGCTTTAGGACTAAAGGCTACAGAGTTTAGTTCTTTTAGCACAGACAATAAGATCGATGAAGAAAATTCCAAATTTCTAGCGATGAAGAAAAATGTCAGATGATTGAAAACTATCTGTTCCAGAACACATAAATTCATAATCTGAAGTTCATTCTCACAACTGCAGAAGAGGGACTCCAAGTAGTACTTAAACAATAATGTAACAGAAGCATGACGAACTGCGTATAGGAGGAACCACTATGCATTTGAAATTAAGCAGCTGAGCCGACAGTTGTTCAGCAGTGGTTTCAATACAGCTCCTTATTCCTGAAGTAGCAACGTGTGGGGCACGCGGTAGCGTAGGTGGTTGAGGCACTACGCTACAAGCTGGAAAGTCGCGGGCTCGATTCCCGATGAGGTCATTGAATTTTTCAATTGCCCTAATATTTCCAGCCGTATTGTGGTCCTGAGGTAGACTCAGCCTCTAACAGAAATAAGTACCAGGAATATTCCTGGGGGGTAAAGGACAGACGGCCCGTAAGGCTGACAACCTCACTGCCATCTGTGAGCCGATTGTCTAGAAAATGTTGGAGCCTCAAAGTCTCAGAAACCTATGAGTTCCACGGTCTGTTAGAGTGATGGTTTTATTTTTTAGCTTATAATAACGTGTGTGATGCATATAACATTTGTGGTCACATGACAAAGGCAGGGAACAGATATAAAAGGAAAAGTCAGACGGGTAATAAATATTATGTATTTTTCATAGAGGACGGTGCTCTAACTAGTGATGCACACTTTCTTGAATTTGATTTAGAGGTCGTGTGTTCTTGCCCAACTATAATGCTGAAATTGTTATTTTTTAAAACGCGATTAGCTGTACACAGTTCCATATTCATGGACTTAAGTTTAAATAAGGTTTTCTACTGCTATTGGCACAAAGCGTCAGCAAAGAGAGGTTGGATTCAATATCATTGTGTCTTTTAAAATCTGAAAAATACTTGAACTGCTGATGGGAAAGAAATCCCGATGATACCCGACAGACGAAGGGAACAGAACTGCAATCTCAACATTGATTTTTTTATATAGGTCTACTGCATATAATTTTAGACCTCCTCGTCTTTAATCAGAACGTTTTAGTAAGGACACACACTGATAATAGTTTTTACACGCACACACATACAAAATTATGTAATATCGATATAAATGACCCTTCGGGGTTCCAGTAATACCTCATAATGTTAACACAGTGCCGAGCACAGCGGCCGAGCTGTATAAAGTCTTCACCCGCTGAAACACTTGGATCGTGGGTTCAAATCCTAGTCGAGGCATGGATGTTTGGCTGCATTTTCTGTGTTTGTGTTATCCTTACCTTGCGACGGGCTAATCACTCATCCAAGAAGTCATACAGACTCTAAGATTCATAACCTCAGAATTAATTAATTGTGAATGGGAAAAGACCACGCAGCCTGACCCGTCAAGGTATAAGAAGAACAAGGAGAAGAAGAACACACCAAAATTAATTTTCTGATTCACCCAAACAAATAGACAAAACAAACTCCGTGGCCTGTAATCCGCAAGCGAACTATACCGACCGAGCGACCGCCGCTTGTCGGCGAAGTTAGTGACAACTTTTGCTGATAGAGGGTGTCACGTGGTCAGCGCAACGGATCCCCACGGCCGTTAATTTCTGTTTTCTAGACCAGAACCAGAACCAAATAGCTCCTCAATTATCCTCACGAGGCTGAGTGGACCCGTTCCAGACCCACTACTTCTCAGAAAATCTGGTAGCGCCTGAAATCGAAATCGGGACCTCTGGATCTGTAGGCAGGAACTCTGACACTGGACCAAAGAGGCAGTCACTTTACAAAGAATAAAAAAAAAATATGGACTGGATTAAGAGGAAACAGAGAAGATATTCCTTTGAATGGCAATCTTAAGTCCAATAATTCGATCACTCCTCTCCAATTACATCTGATACAATGTGTCACGTGTATTAGTGACTCGTATACGGGGTTTTGATTTGTAAATCGATTTATTGGATACTCACAGGTCGTAAGTAAAAGTAATTATAACATTCTGATGATTACTGTAAACATAACACATAAAACACCCAGTCTAACAGTTGATTCATCTCTTATTCTCTTTTTCCACGAAAGCTGTGACAAACTCCGGGCAACGCGTCAATTTACATAAGTGTATTCGTTGTTGCGGAAATGTGTTTTGACTAGCTGTTGTCCAGCAACAGACGTCTCTGATGGGCTTTACTGACTGCACACTTCCAGCTTTCAGGCGTTATGTCACAATGTATAAATCATCGCAAATAACAGTTTTCTATATATACATACACATAAGTATTATTAGGTCAGTAACGTGAAACCAAGTGGGCTAGCACAATAATAACACTGCACATGCAACTCATATTTGGGAATGTATAAAACCTCAGCTAGGATATTGATATCTTGAATGGGGTTTCTCGTCTTGCCCTTTTTTCAATGTCAGTTGCTAATTTCTCGCCTAATAATTCCTCATATCACCTCCAATGTAGTACAATTCACATTTTCACTTCTAATGCATGGAGATTAATAAACATAATTAATATTTCAGTGCCTGGTACGTGTGTATGCCTGTCATGGCTGGGCCATTAAAACAATTGAAGGACTTGGCAACAGGAAGATGGGTTACAATGCTTTACAGACACAACTTGCTCACCTGAATGGCACGCAGTGTGGGTACTGTTCCCCAGGAATGGTGATGAACATGTATAGGTTTGTGTATATGAGACTGTATCTCAGAATACATATGCAAAACTGCAAGATGTCACACTTTTATAACTTGTATAGAGTGACTTTTAAGGCATGAAAATATCTGTAATGCAAAATATTTCAGTAAAGTTCTCTATTTTTTCCCTCCGTGGCCTTTAGTCCACAAGCAAACTATACCAACTGAGAGACCGCCGCTTGTCAGTGAAGTTAGTGCCAACTTTTGCGTATAGAGGGTGTAAAGTGGTCAGCGCAACAGATTCCATGGATGTTAATGTCGGGTTTCCCGTCTATAAAACCGAGATAATGATGATGATAACAACAATAATAATAATAATAATAATAAAGAATAACAAAATCAGGAAATCATTCTTAATATCTACGATAAGTGGTTCAAAAAATTTGTCAGCTTATTATCTTCTCTGCTTCCTGATATGACTGATAGTAAACAGTGGTTTTTCACGAATGCATACAATATTCATGAAAACTGGTTTCTCATTTCGATGAATATTCTTATTGAAATTTTCTGGATACTGATGTTGTGTAGTTTGGTGGAAACCTGAAGATGAATTCAGCAGGTTTCTCTAGAACGTTGTTACCTCTCTAGATAGTGTTACATTCGAGGACTTTATGAGGTTCTTAGTGGAGTTGCTTGTCACAGTGGTACATAGCATGTTGTTAGTGCTCAAGACGCACAGTGCCAAGCAGGTGCCAATTGCGATCAAATGTTCATGGAGTGCACATAGCACAGGCACTGTGACTGCTACTGTTATGCGGTGATACAAGCTACATTCATCTGGTGAACATCATCCAGACGATAATTTGTTTTGACAGTTATAGCAGAGTCTTTGGGAAAGAGGATGTTAACACTTCAGGCATGTATGAATGTAGGTAGCCCACAGACTCTACTGACACCAACCCATGACAATACCACAGCTGCAACTGTGAAGAGAGCCATGAAGAAGCTTGCACCATATCACACTGTCCCAAATGAGGGTCCCTGAAGTACTTCATGATGACTAATTACATCTATGCCACTAATTGTGAAGTGCACATCTGTTTCCAGACCATTGCCCTGTATGGATGCAATTTTGCGAACGGTTGCATCAACATATTGTGGATAAGAACTTTTATATAATATTCTGTGAACAGAGGAAGCATGTTATTCATGTGAGAGTGTCTTCACTGTCCAGAGGATAATCCCCATGCTATCCATGAATGCCTGCCTGAGAGTATGCCTGCTCAACAATATCATGATTTTCTGGAAACTCTTGTATTGGAGCTGCTTAACTATGTGCCTCTAGCTGTGAAGTGGGAGTTGTGGTTTCAGTACAACGAAGCTCCAGCACACTGTGGGGAATGTGTCCAGAAATGATTGAAAGCAACATGTCCAGGAAGGTGGATTTGCTGTCAAGCTCAGAATGCATGGCATCCTCAGTGCTAACTCCAATGGGTTATTTCCTGTGGGGACAGCTGAATGAGCACTTTTATGCATTCTCTCGTATGACTATATAATATCTCATGGCAGGACTTCGGGCAGCTGTGATGACAGTCGATGCCAACATAGTAGGATATGAGAGAGAATTCCCTGAGGCATCCTGTAGTCTTCCTTTAAAAATATGGAGTCAGCTTCGAACATCTATTGGTATGACAAGGCGTCCATGGTTTGATCATTTTACAGCTTACACCATCTGCCAGTGACAATGCATCTTGAAAACTGAATGTCACAAGATATATGTTGTACAATGATTTCTTCCCTTTTTTTAATAGGAAATTACAATGTGGAGAACTCGTGTTAGAATTTTATTCTATTTTGTATGTGGAAGGAACAGTAATTATCCAAACAGAAGTGCGTATTAGGTTAAGTACTGCAGAATCTAGGACAATGATATAAAAGCGCCAAAAATGGCATTATAGACTCATAGCAAAGAAATAAATAGCAATGTACCTTGCTTATTTCCACTCTGTAATGAAGAATGGAATCATCTTCTTGTGTAATTCATCTAACAGAATTAAGATATTTACATCACCAAAGGAAACTGTTATTACCATTACTGGTGCCAAATTCACAGAGATATTTATTAAAAAGACTGAAGAGTTTACCTCATCCCTGTGAATACATATTCATATTTTCATAAATGAATTTCAGTGTACTTTTATCAGACTAATTCTACTGTATGTAGTATTAATGCAAGGAACAGGCACAATTGTGACAGACCACTTGAGAGTTCCTCAAGTTTTCAGAAAAGTGGATAAAATCTGACATTAAAATTTTCAGTCAAATTTTCTGGAAAATCTTGTGAATGAAAAGACACAATATAAAGTAGTGCTAAAAAGGACATTTAGATATACACACATTCCACTCTGTTGATAAATTCCTAATAATTCTAAATATAATAATTACAATAATAATTATAATAATTTTAAATATGAATCATAATTTTTTAAAGGTTTGTATAAACAGCATGAATAGGCAATATTGAAGTGTGTGTATGGATGTATTTGAAATTTTAACTATCTTATGTGAACTCTTTGTGCAATTTTCATGTGAAATTTTTATAATAGGTTCAGTTGTACTGTAAATATATATTTTGTGGGCTTATGACTTGCTTCATATCCTACAGTCATTTTTGTCTAACTTTGGACCCATGGAAGTAACTTACATATGTATTTATGTATTTAAACAATTTATTTACTTTGGAAATGAATGTTCATATTTCTAAAATGAACGGCATATTAGCTGTGACATGAGACACCTTTGTTTTGGCAGATGATAGCTATGGTTCTAGCTAATAAGCAGATGGTAAGAGAGTTAAGTGATTCAGGAGCTCAAGAGAGAGCCTAACCTCATCAATTGATGATGTATCATGAACTGTAAAATCACTTGAATTCATTATCACCAAGTTTCCTTCTTCTCATGTGATTATCATCAATTGTCCTTCCCAGCTTATTTCACCATCTTTCTTTCATAATGTACAAATGACATGGGGTCAAATACTGTGTTAAAGATTAAGGTTCAGATTTGAGACTTCACTCTCTGAGGTGTGACACCATGTAGTCTGACAGACTGTTACTGATTGTTACTGACATTAAATTCAGCTCTTCTAGCCTTATCTGGATGGAGATCAGTTGCCTACTTCAGATATAGATGATGTATTTAATACCTGATTCACTTCTAATGCAGCCTGAAGAATGATAAAGATATCACTATGCAAGAAGTAGAGAATTCTTTTGGTGGTAATATATGTCGCTGTACTGGATATCGTCCCATTCTGCAAGCCTTCAAATCTATGGCTATAGATGCCCCACCACAACTAAAAAACAAAGTACAGGATATTGAGGTTAGTGTGGATCATGGATTTTGTTTCTGTAGACATATCTTTACTTGGATGAAAAACTGAAAATAACATGCTTCTCTTTATAAAATTATGATATAATGTACATTTACTGTGTATCATTTCATGAAAGAATGTAATTTATTCGGTCATCAGATATTTCATTCAGATCATGTATGTTTTCCTGATTTTCATTGGGTGCATCCTCTTGTGTTTATTATGCAAAAATCTTTATTAGAATCCGTCGCAACACAATAATGAGACGGTCGAGGTTAATATTACCCTAGCTACATGTTTTGGCTTTTAAAGGCATCATCAGGCAAATACATAGCTACTACACTCGCAAACTATTGAACTGCATTTCAATATGATGGTACAATGGTGCTGGATACTTGACAAATATGTTACATTATAATAATACAAAGTATAATAATATAATAAAATTATAAAATTATTATAAAAACGAAAGTTATACAATTAATAATATGGTTAAAAACAATTCATGTAATATTTCACATTATGAAGTCTGTTGATGCAGTCATATGGTTATATTCCATCGGACATTTTTTCATTCATCAGTAATCTGTCAGACAACAGGTCCACAGTCTCTTCCAAACCAGTTCCTCCACTTAATGCGATCCAGAGCTTTCTCCTTCAAATAAAAATATCCTCTTCTCTCCCCAAGGTCATCCAGTATCTTCTTACGTCTTCTTCCTCCTCTTCTGGTTCGCATACATGGTGTCTCTGTTTTTGGAAATGGCTAACTGCTTGGAGGCCCTTGGTATTAGTGCAGTATTATTTAGTATTTACTGTTTTGACCAGTGTCTGATTTTATGTGCGTATGACCGTTCTGGTGGGACGAGAGATTGCAACAACAGATTTGCAATCTGTCTTCCCACCAGAACAGACAGACATATGTAAAATAAAAAATTTTTGCTCGGATAATAGTCATTTTTCATGTGAATGAGAAATTTAATATATCTAATATTATCAGCTGCTATAAATCATAAGATCAGTTACTATTTTATTTATTATTTCAGGAACTCTGTAAGAGGAACATTTGTCCAATGAGTGGCAAGAAATACTCTGGGAGTTGTAGTGATTATGATTATGATGATGCTGATGCTAGTGATGATAATGGTGAAGAAGATTTTGTTCATGTGAACATGGATGGTGCAGAAATCATTCAGTCATCAAAGCATTCTTCTATTCACATAAACTTGAAAGATGCCCATTGGATCAAAGTTACAAAAATGAACGAAGTTTTTGAAATTTTTGATAAAATTGGTTATGCCCCATATGTTCTAGTTGGAGGGAACACAGCCCGTGGTAAGTCACCAATTGCTAAAGAAGACATCAGAAATATTATTACATACAGAACATACAGAACGTTCCATTGTGGGGCACAAGGTAGCATAGTTGGTTGAGGCACTATACAACAAGCCGGAAAGTCGCGGGTTCAAGTCCGGATGAGGTCATTGGATTTTTTTCAATTGGTGTAATCTTTCCAGCTGCACCATGGCCCTGGAGTCAACTCAGCCTCTAACAGAAATGAGTACCAGGAATTAATTAAATAATTTTCCTGGGGAGTAAAGCGCAGCCAGCGCATAAGGCTGACAACCTTACCGCCATCTTTGAGCCGATTGTCTAGATAATGTGGGACTCTCAACGTCTCACAACCCTATGGGCCTTCACAGCCTGTTAGAGGGATAGCTTTACTTTACTTTTTACGTTTCATTGTTACCCCACATTTTGCAGGATGTTATCTGGACACCGAAATAAGAGAAATAGTTCATATGAATATGTACCGTAAGGGTCTTCCTTAAAAAGACTGTGTGAAAGGTATTTTGATGTGTATCTCTTTAGTACTGTATGTGTATATTGGCAAATTATTACTTATTAATTGCATTGCAGAATAAGTTTAAAGCAATATATTATAATATATAAGTCTAACTGAAAACTCTACACATTTTTTATATTATGAAGAACAATGATTTAAAGCCCCATATCAGTTATCCTGAATTCATTGATGCTATTGTTATTCATTCCACTGTAAAATAGAACAGAGACTGTTTAAACAGTCCTGGTCAATGTGTGTCTCTGTTTATAGTGTACGAGTATGACTCTGAATCCAACCAGGGACATACGTGTCTGACATTACTAATTAACGAATTCATAATATAAGACATGCATTTTAGGGGTATACAGACCAACTATGGAGCCCCAGATCTACATTGATGTGCAAGACATTCCTGAATTGAAAAGTTACGTGACAGAACCAACTCTGACGCTAGGTGGAAATGTGAGCCTCACTGACTGCATCAAACTATTTAACTCTCTATCCAAGAAGAAAAGTAATTATGCATACACAGCAGTACTGGCAAGACACATCGACCTGATTGCTAATGTCCCTGTCAGAAATGTAAGTTGTCAAGTAAGAACAAATTATTATGCCTCATATCCATGGTCAAAATACCACAGCCCCACTGTTAAAATAAAGATGCACTTTCATAAATATGCCATAGTTGGTTGAGGCATTATGCTACAAGCCAGAACGTCGCAGATTCAAGTACCAATGAGGTAACTGGATTTTTTTCAATTGACCTAATTCTGGCAGCCGCACTATGGCTCTGGGGTCAACTCAGCCTCTAACAGAAATGAGTACCATGAATTAATTAAATAATTTTCCTGCGGACTAAAGCATGGCTGGCGTGTAAGGCTGACAACCTTACCACCATCTATGAGCCAATTGTCTAGATAACGTGAGACCCTCAACGTCTCACAACACTGTGGGCCTTCACGGCCTGTTACAGGGATAGCTTTACTTTTACTTTACTTTTTACTTTTACCATTTTTAGCTGGTATCTGCCAATATGAATACTGGAAAACAATTAATCCATTGTGGTTAATTTGTCAGATATAAAGAGTTATATTACTGTCAGTGAATTATATATATTTTGATGCTAAGGCTGAAACCAACCATGACAGAACTGGCAAATATAATTTTAGGAAAGAAAGTGCTTCTCATAAGTATACAAAGGAATACTCGAAAAATATTGTCATTCTAATGCTGAAAGCATATTCTCTTTGAAAGGATGGCTGCAATATTTATATAGCCTGTAATGTCTGTAATGTCTTTTCATTCAGCAAAAAGTATTAAGCACATTATTCTGTCAGTTGGAATAGAAATGTCAGTGGCACATTCCCCTACTCCTTCACTCTGTGATCAGCTGAAAAATGGTGTGTCTTCCGCAGCTTTACCTTCCCACTGACATCTTTATTCTGACAGAGAGTAGTATAATGAAAATAACAGTAAAGTCTCTTTTTATCATCTTGTGCATGTAACAATGCACATTTAATGTCTCATTTGTAAACTGTACTTCAAAGTGTAATCTGTAAAAGTGCAAAAGTATTTCAAAAAAATAAAAACTACAACAGCAGATACACAGAAGAACTGAGGCAAATAATTAAGTATGATATTCTTAAGATATTAAAAATTTGTTTTTATACATAAATACAACTTTCTCTTTGCCAGTGGCAGCTTCAAATTATGATATCACATATGATTATTGGTTTACTTATTTATTAATAGGTAAACAATGCTGCTATGGCCTGTTGTAATTTACAGTCCCAGAACTTGCATTAGGGATATGAGGAAACAATAAAATACCTGAAGCAGGTTAAGCACTTTTCAGACAAAGGCTCAGTTCCAAAGTGGTCCAAAAATTGAAGCAGCAGTGCTAAGATTTGCCTGCAACTTTCAGTATGGCATATATGATTATTTTCCTGCAAACATTTAGAACTTTTAGAAGCATTTTGATATTCTATTTTACTATATGAAAACTATATTAAATTTTATAATATACACATATATATATATATATATAAACTGAACCTGGAATTGAAGAAGAAAAAGAAAGAAGCCAGATACTTGTACCAACATAATGGCTGTATGATTTATATTCTGTTAATTCATTGCAGGTTGGGACAATTGCTGGGAACCTGTCCATTAAGCATGAACATCCCGAATTCCCATCTGATATGTTTCTGATTTTAGTCACAGTTGGAGCCACCTTGACAATTGGTGAGTTAGCATTTTCATTAGAATTATTAAATGTTACTCCACTAGTGGAGACTTGAATCCTTAATATTAAAGTGGAGTAAAACAATGAATTTCATTAATTGTTATTGTTTTGACTTCAAGCATTAATTCAGGTTCAGATTCCATAAATTGGTACGAATGAGACTAAATTTGAAATATCTCAGAATAAAGCATTCATTTATTTTATTATGGTGCAGCTGAAGGCTCTACCTTTGCTGTCAAATATGCCAAAGAATACTGGCAGAAATATCCTCCATTGTTATAACTGCAGAACTTAGCAATTAACTGCTTTCATGTACTGAAGAATTTATTCTGCATCACACACTCACTCATGGAGCTGAGCCCTTCTTGAGAGGCTGCAAATTATGCAGCTACCTCCCAGCATTTTATGGAATTCGAAGGTTCATCACTGTGTTCAGAAGAGCCTTCCACTGGTTCATTTATTCAGCATATATTGCCTAATAATTAAGCCTGCATATGCCACTAGTAGACATAACGCATATTTATGATACCACTGTATGCATATATAAAAGTGTCTATGTCATGATGCAGTTAATTTATTTTTATCAGAATTGTACATACTATAGTTTCTGGAATGTACTAATTGTAATGGTTTTCAAGGGTTATGGTCATGGAAAATTCACTCTATAACACTTTGTACTCGGGGAACTTGTCAACAGGTAGACATTTCTGGTACCCAAGAGAAATAGATGTTCCAATGATTTCCAATAATGGGAACCCGACATCCTCAGATTCTTGGAAAATAAAAAAAAATATTGATTATTAAAGAAGATTTTAGAAACATTCAAATGGAAATTGTCAAATATTCCAGTTGTGTTCCATTATGGAATAGTGGCTTTTGTTGTGAATACACCAACATTCACATCCTCCCTAGAATGATTATTGTGGCAGGCTACTTCTTTTAATTTTAGTATTTCTTAAGAAGGATGCTCACCTACTAAGCAAGTGGCTAAGATTAATGGACATAAAAATGTTGAAACTACAAATTTCAAATCTTTGAGCTATTATACTTCACTCTTCATATTATTAAAGTGAATTATTCATTGAGCAATTGAGTATAACAAATACTGAATGCTGAAAATTTGTCACCAATGTATCTGCTATCATGATGCAAAAATCTCTTTATTTTCTGTACAGTCTTGAATGTATTGCTGAAAATAGAACTCAACCATTCCCTGTCGCTTATTCCTTGCTAAATAAAAATTTTAAATTGTTAAACAGCTTCAAAAACTTTTCTATACCAAGATGTGAGCATGCTTGACTATCTGGATATGGACATGAAACACAAAGTCATAAAAAGCATTACTTTACCCAAAATGGATGACAGTTACAGCCTGAAGACCTATAAGGTATGTTAAATATTGCAACAAAATTTTGTGGTAAAGGAAATTGTACAACCCATTATGCTGGCTATTTGATTAAATCTACCTGAAAGCAATAGGCTGTATGTTCTTGTAGTAATATGTAATGATATGCTGTGAGTTAACCACTGCAATGGCTTTATGTTCCAAACAACATATTCTCTACAGATTTTGGTATCTGTATGTTGGATTTAGTAGTAGTAGTAGTAGTAGTAGTAGTAGTAGTAGTAGTAGTAGTAGTAGTAATAGTAGTAGTAGTAGTCTTTATTTCCATAAATCCAGTACTAGAAATACATTCAGAGGATGTGGAAAAGTCAAACAAAACACATAAATAAAAACAGTACAAGGTACCAAGTCAATATACAGATATGTTAAATTTATACTACTGAGATCATAAAAAACATAACGAGTATCAATTCAACCCTTCCTATCAAAAATACTCAAAATACACTTCAAATATATAAAAGAAACAACAATAAATACAGCACAAAATGCTAATCATACAGATATAATAAAATAATACCACTAAAACCCAAGAAAATAACCAGCATTAAGTTTACTCTTCCTATTAAAATTCACAAAATACTCTTCCAATACATAATGAGTAACAAGACTAGAATTCTTCAGATTCAATTTAAAACTGCTAACACCTTTGTACAAATTATATGAATATGACCATATCAGATTAATACTACATCTTAAAGATACTCAGAATTCTCTTCCAAAGTAACAACTGAATACTGCACAATGATCAAATTTTATGTGAAAGAAGGGTGCACTCCCAAATAAATATGTTTATATGTTTTCTTGTGCCTGATAGCAAATAAATTGCTACAATGTGACTATAGGACTGGGTGCCCTGCTGAAACTTCTGAACAGAAAATTTAATAAATTATGAGGTTGTCATAATGGAAGATTAGTTACATAAACACTCCCCGTTTAGACTACAAACTGGAGATTTTTGGGGTATTTTAACATGAAGCACAAAAATTTAACTGCATCCAAGAAATGTCAATAATTTTGAGCTGGATTGTGTTGGGAAGTGATCGTTTGGGAGAAGTATGTTATGGGAAAAGCAAGTACAAACAGTAACAAGATATAACTTGCCAAAGGTGATTGCCATTTTTGATTGCATGTAGAACCAGACGTCAGTAATATCGTCTGTCAGTCGTAATTTAGCATTTCATCCTAATGAACACAGAATTCAGGACCAATGGAATATCTTCATTCCTTTATTACTCATGTCAATAATGGTGAAAATGAAACCCCTCATTGTGCCTTTAAATTCATTCTATCCTGCAGTTATAGTAAGACAGAGGTAAGGTGAAATTGTCTCTGTGCATAAGTAATTATAGGATCACACCATGAAAACATGATTTTGGCACTAGATGGAGGTATGTGATCAGCTTTATGCCCCAGCCACTTTTCTCATATGCCCACTGCATATGAGACTGGTGAACCCCAGAGCCGGTCTGGACCTCATGGAATAGAGAAAAATGCCCCACTTGGAATAGAACTTTAGGCATCCAGCTTGTAGCCCACTGCTGTACTGACTGAGCTGCCCCCACTCCTATTGCCATAGGAGCAGTTATTTAAAAGCCATTAACACAGCATGTCCTCATACAGTAAATGGAAAATCTAGTCCTATTATAGTCTGTTGTGTTAAACATGAAACATGGTTATGTAATGTTAGTATTAAATGGGTCCCATATTTTACTAATATAGCAGGATGTAAATATTATTAATTCTAAAAAACTGTTGGGCTTGCAGTCTGATTCCAATAATTGGTGGCCTTGTAATAAATATCATGCTTTGGTGTATTTCTTTCTTCTGTTGCTGAGCACACACTATACCTCCCTTAATAATCTCCAGAAAACAGAGTCTGAGAAATGACTACAGTCCATATATTGTTCTTTCAGAGAAATTTACTTCTGTATGTCAGTAAAGCAGAGCACTTTTGCATGGATCAAAATATAAAGTTGATTAGCCCATGTTTCAGAGATCCTGAATGAAGTCTCGTTCTTCATATTTTCCAAAGAAGATGAGAAATTTATGACAATGAATTTGCTATATATTACATTTTTTACAACTTCACTTTATTTTCCAAAATTTTGAAGCATGTGTATACGTGCATTTTTCCAATTGCTAAAGGCCAGAGAAAGGTTAAGAATGAGAAGTGCACTTGAATATAACAAAGACTATTATATATATTATTGTTGTAGTTACAAAAATTGTACACCGCAAAGGCATGCACAATTTCAACTTTGACCCTTTCTATGATGCTAAAGAAACTTTTGCGAAGAAGTCAAATTGCCTCATTGCTGATTTGCATATAATGATGAAATAGATATTTTCATGACACAGTTTCCAAATTTTCAATTTTCAGATTATGCCAAGGGCTCAAAATGCTCATGCATATGTGAATGCAGGATTTTTGTTTCAAATAAGGAAAAGTGACAATGGCAGAATTCTAAGGAAACCAACCATAGTGTATGGCGGAATCAACCCTTACTTTGTAAGTATTTCAAAGAAATTTGTGTAGACTGGTGATCCTATGTATGAAGCCTGAGGAAAAAATACAGTAGTAATGGGTTAGCCTAAAAGAAATAGACACTTTCAAAGTTTTACGGAAAGAAGAGCTTTAATAGCATGGTCAAGATACTTACATGGTTTGAAAAGGATGCCCTGAAGTTTACATGGGTACACCCTTTTATGGAATACAGCAGAAAAAACGTTCACTTGAGGTGAATCCCTCACATGTTCTACTACAGCTCTCGGGTTTTCAGTTCTCCATATATGAATATTGTGTTTGTTCACTGTACCACTAATTTGGAACGTTGATTCGTCACCGAAAACTAGCTGGTTAAAGAACTCATTACTTCCTTCATTCCATTACTGCATACCCACACAGAATGAGTGATGGAGGAGTTTGTCATTTTCAGTGAGGTTCTACAATAATTGCAATCGATAAGGGAACATTCGTAAATGTTTACGCAAGATATTCCACGCAGTCTTTCGAGGAAATTGAAGTTTTAAACTTGCACATGTGGTCGATTTTTTTGGGCTGCGCATGTAAGTTTTGCGAATACGAGTCATTTAAACTGTATTTCTTTTAGGCTAACTCTGTATTCTGTAACTAGTGCCTGTGGTAAGTACATCATGATTGAATCTAGTGGGTACTTCAATTAAAAATTAAAAAATTCTAAAATATAATAAGTTTGAATAAAAGCCAGTAAACTAATGTTCTAAATACATCAAAATAAAAATATGTTTGTGTTGGAAATGATTATGTTTATGATGAGTATACCATAATGGGGAAATTGTGATACTGGCAGGATATAAATGTTTATTTTCAGGTGCATGCCCATGATACAGAGAATTATTTGGAGGGCAAGAATCTCTTTGATTTTAAAACTTTCAAGACAGCATTGAGAATACTTGATAAGGAACTGAAACCAGACCAAGTGCTACCGGATGCTTCTCCAATATTTAGGAGGAAGTTAGCCTCAGCCCTCTTTTACAAGGTATCATAGCTGCCTAAAATGAAATAGTTTTAACATTTGAGATGAGGTGTCTTCAAATTTTGTATTTGGCAGAGTGTGAATGTGACACATATGTAGCACATAATTTTGTAAACATTAGATTTAATTTAACACTGGATACTCTTTTATGTTCATTTATTTGAACATAATGTATCATAATGCCCAAATTAAATTTATATCAGTTTGCCTGTGGACTACACCATAATTTTCTAATTATCAGGCTGATTTCAGTAAAGAATCTGACAGACTTTCAAGACAAAACGTAAAATTTAGAATAATGAAATATTTTTAGAAATATCTTTGTTTACTACAACTGTATTTTTAGTTATTCATGCCAGAAGTCTGGCATCAGTTCAACACTGGAGCTGAGATTCCCCTACATACAAGTTCTTCAATAGGACATGAGCTCTCAGATGTGTGAGAGAGAGGATGACAACAGTGTCTGCTATTGGTTGTGGTGCATGTAGGAGAAAAGCTTTCTCTATACTACTAGACACAAAAATTAACTTCAGATTTAATATCCTCCAGGGACTGGTTAACATTGTAAAAGGCTTCTGTTCTACTAGATTCTCCATTATCTTCTTCTGCAAATTCTTCTTCTGCTTTACTCCTTGCCCTTTCTACTCCTGCTATAACTGCTGGCATCATTTTCATTTTGTAGGTTAACTATAATTTGCACCAAGTTGTTACCAGTAATAGGTTTGAGTTCCAAGTAATTCTGTCTACAGTGATGGGGATTCTTGCACCTTGAGCTCCATTTATCTTTGTGATGATACTAAACTTTTTCTGATGGAAACTGACGTTCTTTATGGTGATGTAATAATTAACCAACATCCTATATCAGTTCAGTCAGATTAAGATCTGGGTGATATGGCAGCAATAGAAGAACAGAGTGGCAATATTGAGCCAGTATATCATCAGTTTTGAACGTTTAAAATCATGGCTTATGCAGTTTAATTATAGAATATAAATTGGGCTTCATATTTGGTCACTCAAAGGAATACTGTTGAGTTGTCTGATACCGAGCAGTAAGGACATGTGTTAAGCACCACTCCATAAGAAAGTGTTTACAAGTGGAAGAGAGACATAAGCCGAGTTTCAACCAAGAGGCAGTCAAATAGGCGAGACTGTTTATTGAAAATATTAAATTGTATTGATAAAATACAGCACTAACTTTTAAGACAATAATTAACAAGTGTCAAAATAAATCAGAAAAAGGTTTCCTACGGGAAATGGACCAAGATTTACTAATAGCATGCAGGCAGCTGCGCCGTCATCAAACTATACACAATACCAACCCATAATAAACACACAAATGCCTTACGCAACTCAGTCATCATCAATCCCCAATATGACACCAACAAATAATTGACATTTTCAACCAAACCAAGAACAATACCATATGCATATCCAAATACAAAACTCTCAACAATTGCAGAAATTGCAACAGTCTCCACAATAATTACAACAACAAGTGCATAACCAAGCTGTGCATAGTCCACAGCTCTTTAGAAAGCTATCAACAAGCGATGAGAAAATTGACAGCCCCCATAGGGATGGCAAATAGTAAAAAGTGTCAAAAGAAGAAAAACATTCTCAAACCAAAATCAAGCACAAGACAACCTCAATATTAGTCATAGATATAGCAATTTATCACAAGTCAAAGACATGGATACAGATAAGACCAAAACTGAAGAGAACCCCCCAAAACTGCCTCCCATATTTGTTTACGGAGTGGTTAACCTCCCAGACATGCTTAAGAACTTTCACGACATAGTGGAACTAGATCAATACACCACTAGAAGCATGGTGAATGGCAATGTAAGGCTCAATTGTAGCAACCTAGATGCCTACAGGAAATTGGTAAGATTCATGAAAGATAACAACATAATCCACCACACCTACCAGCCAAAAGACGTAAGAGCATACAGAGTAGTCAGAAGATATCTACATTACCCAACAGACACCACAACAATTAAAGAGGAACTAAACACTCAGGACATAAGGTCAAGAACATTATCAATGCTAAACATAGACAAACTAAGGAGCCTCTCAACCTGTTTTTTGTTGACCTGGAACCAGCTGATAACAATAAAGAACTCTATAGCATTAAACAAATACAAAAGTAGCACAATCCAAATTGAGTTTCCTAGAAAAAATAAACATGGCATCCAATGTACGAGATGCCAACAATATGGCCATACAAAAGCCTATTGCAACAGACCTTTTCTGTGTGTGAAATGTGCGGGACCACATGATACAGCTAACTGTAGAAACAGCCATGACACTCCGGCAACATGTGACATATGTGGTGGACCACACACAGTAAACTATAGAGGCTGTGCATACTACCAGTGGCTAAACAGAAGTAGCTGTAACAATATCAACAATCTTACCCATCAACCACCAGTAATAAATACTAACCACACCCCCTTGCAGTGAACCACAAACCCACCAAGTCGGATTAGCTACACCAATACAGTAAAAACAGGGTGAGCCTCTCAACAAATAACCAAAACAATAATAACAATGAAGACATCAGTAGAATTCTTGGTAAATTTCTAGAAGATTTCAAATGTATGTTTAAGCAAATCATACAACAGAATAGCATGGTCCTAAACATGCTATCAACGCTAATAGGCAAGATAAATGGCTAAATTCCTCAGAATTGCTATATGGAATGCCAATGGTATAATTCAACATAGAGAAGAGTTAAAAATATTCCTTCAAGATCAATTCATTGATATCGTGTTAATCAGTGAAACCAATTTCACTGACAAGTCATTCCTTAAAATCCCTGGTTACCATTTATATTATACCAACCATCTTGACAACACAGCCCACGCTGGATCTGTAAAGGAATATCTTCAAGCAACATCTGTCAGAATCAAAACACTGTCTTATGATTTAACAGTACCTGCAGTATACTGTCCTCCCCGCCATAACATCAAGAAAGAACATATTAATGAATTCTTCCACTCTGGGGCTCAAATTTATAGCAGGAGGAGACTATAGCTCCAAGTACACCCTATGGGGATTGCGCCTCACCACCACTAAAGGCAGAGAACTTGCGAAAGTCCTACAAGAAAATAATTACTCCTTTTTGTCAACAGGCTCTCCTACTTATTGGCCATCTGACCCAAGGAAAATACCTGACCTACTTGATTTTTTTGTCTCTGGAGGCATATCCAAATCATTTATGGAGGTACACTCTAATTATGACCTATCATCAGGTCATACTCCAGTAATTGGAACAATCAGTACTACAGTAATAAATATTAAAAAAGCATCTAGACTACATAATAAAAAAACGATTGGGAAACATACAAAAACATAATAGATGAAAAGATACACCTAAAAATTAGTTTAAAGACATCTGAAGAGTGAGAGAGAGAATCAGAAAAAATAATTTTGACTCTACAAGAAGCTGTAAAACAAGCTACACTCCTCCCAAACACCAAGCAAGAAACTAAAAATATCCCGTTTGAAATCAAACAACTAATAAGAGAAAAGAGAAAAGCCAGGAGGAAATGGCAGCATAGTCACTATCCAGAAGACAAAACAGCATACAATCACCTAGCCAATAGAATAAAAAGAAGTTACAAGAAACACAAAATGCCTCAGTCTATGATTACGTCACAAGTCTCAACAGGCACGATAGTTCTATATGGCAACCACTTAAACCAGCTTTAAAGCCTTTGTCAGCTAACCCCCCCCCCCCCCGATTAGGAGGCAAATTCCCACTCCAGGACCTTGGGCAAGAAGCAACATAGAGAAGGCTGCTTTGTTCGCTGAGCACTTAGGTGAAGTTTTACACCCAATGACAACATAAACAACCAGGAAATAACAGATTTCCTAGACCAGGCCCAAGTAATGGATGAGCCAGAAACAGTACACTGAAGGAAATCAAGAAAGAAATCTCCTATCTAAATAACAAAAAAGCGTCTGGTCCTGATCAAATTAGCATGAAAATGTTGAAAGAACTCCCAAATAAGGGAATAGTCATGTTAGCCTACTTATTCAAAGTTGTTCTGAGACTCCACTTGTGGCCCCAGTATCTCAAAGTTGCAGAAATAATCTTAGTGTTGAAGCCTGGTAAAAACCCAAATCACATTACCTCATACCGGCCCATTAGCCTACTTTCCACTGTATCCAAGCTCCTCGAAAAACTAACACTCCATAGAATAAGTCCCTCCTTACATGAAATCCCACACCACCAATTTGGTTTTCGACATTCTCATTCAACAATTCAACAATGCCATAGAATTTTTCATACAATCAACAGATCTTTTGAAGATAAAAAATTTTGTCCCTCAGTCTTTCTGGACAGAAGCCAGGCTTTTGATAAAGTCTGGTACAATGGCCTCCTTTATAAAGTAAAGCACATTCTCCTGACATATTTCAAGCTGATCAGATCCTACCTAAATGGCCGACAGTTCAGAACCAAATTCAATGGTGAAATTTCAAATTTCTTTCCAGCAAAGTCCGGCATACCTCAGGGTAGTGTATTGGGCCCAGTACTCTATTTACTATGTACATCAGACATACCAATGACAGCTGATACAATAACTGTCACTTTCGCAGATGACACAGTAATATTATCCAGTCATGAACACCCAGAAACTGCTTCAGAGCACCTGCAACACCACCTACATCTCCTAGAACAGTGGAGCAAAAAATGGAAAATTAAAATAAATTAATCTAAATCTACGCAAATAACTTTTGCTTGAAAAAAGGGACTATGTCCTCCAGTGTCCATCAACAATAAAATCATACCGGAATCATCATCAGTGCGCTATCTGGGAATAAACTTAGATAAAACACTCAATTGGAAAGAACACATAGTCAAAAAGAGGAAAAACACCGATGCCAAAATTAAAGAGTTATACTGGCTACTAGGAAGAAAATCCCATCTGAACCTGGAAAACAAAATCCTGATATACAACACTGTGACAAAGCCCATATGGACCTATGGGATTGAGCTATGGGGCTGTGCTAGTAAGTTGAGTATCGACATCATCCAAAGATCCTGGTCCAAAATACTTTGAGTAATGACAGATGCAACATGGTATGTATCGAACGACACTCTTCACCAAGACCTTGGCATCTCAGTCATCTCTGATGTAATTCAAGAGCGTAGCAACAAACACAATGATTGACTAGAGACACACATTAATCCATTGATGCAGCTGCTACTGGAAGCACCCAAAAACAGATGATTGAAAAGACGTCTTCCAGTTGACCTCAAGTGAAAAACAGAGGCTCCTTCGGTGGAAGGAGCCTCATCCTGCCATAGGCGGGCTTATTAGCCCAGTGTTATCACAATAGCTTATAGAATACTGTAATTCTGATTGCTTTTTATGTAATAAAAAAAAGGGAATGCTACAATATGAAAGCCTGTTGATTGTAGCAATTTTTCATGACAAATAAATTGGAGCCAGACTGAATTGCACATTATGGTAAGCTTGTCATTCACAACTAATACTGAATCAGGAGAAAGGTTTGGAATTAACTTCATGCTTAGGCATCTTTCATAGTTATCAATCTTCTGATTTTTCCCCCAATAAGAACATTAACAAAGCATTTCAAATGAAGGCATTTTCATTGCCTTCACATACAATATTGAGTTGCTCTCCTTTGGAGATGGGTGCCAGTAGACCTCCATTTCTCTTTCACTCCATGTATCTTCTTTTGTGTGTGATGAGTGAATGTATGTTTCATCCTTGTAAATGACAGCATGCCCCTTATTTATGTAAGAACTTATGTTTTTAAAATATGTTAGACTTGCTGCTGAATATCATAATTTTGATGAGATCTTTTCCCTCACTTTCTGATTTCTTCCATCTGAAGTCTAAATCTCTAGCTATTTTCTAAAGAGCCCACTTTCTTCTGCTGTGGGTTACTTTATGCCCACCAATATTCTTTACACTGCTGTTCTCACCTTGCATTCTGTTCAAAGCCTGGGACAAAATCAGTGAAGATGACAGGCCTAACTATAAATGGGCCAATATTATTGAAATGGAACTTGACATGTAATGTTAATTTAGTCACAGCACTTGAGACACTGAGCTCCATATACACCTCACCAATTTTTTTTTGGCAGAGAAGCTATTGCACATCTCAAGGTTATAACTCGTGTCACACAAAACCACTGCTCAATCGCAGGCAATTTCTCTACTAATAAATAGACCAGGAAGTCTCTGGTCTCTTATAGAAAGGGCAGACCTTCATTTATCATCTTTGAACAAATATTATGTTTTTGGACATTATCCATCACATTGTCTTTATCTAAAAACTGTCTTGTTTAGTTTTCAAAACACGTTTCAGAGACTTGATTCTGTCTCTGAAACGTTGTGTTTTAAAGAAATAAACAGGATGGTTTCTATATAAAGAAAAGATGATGGTTAATGTCCAAAAGCATAATATTTATATTAATGTACCAGTGTCACAAGCTTTTAAATCTTATAATCTTCGAATTTGCTGAGCTCCTGTCAAGAGAAGTACAGAGAAAAGAGACTCTCAACAACATTTAGCTAGGGTTAGATTGCAGTCTAGCAAGACTGCATTATGTGCACTAGCAATTCCTTTCTTCGAAGGAACGAACTAAATTGACATCTCAGCTTCAACTTCACAGGCAGTCATGTAATAAAGCAGGGATTAAGAAATAGGATTTGAATTTTCATTTTTAGGTGCAACTTCAGTGTGATGCAGAATCAAGAAACAAGCTCTTTCACCTTAGGAAGGCATTTTAATACACCAAGAAGTGAAACATTTAGTATTAACTAACACAGGCCTGTCCAACTTCTTTAGGACCTAATACCCCCCCCCCACACACACACACACACACACACACCCAGAGATTCTTATGTACTGCATAATTTCTCAGGTTCTTATATAAGTTTTATTAACTATAGATTCTGTAGCATTGTCTTCATTTATTTGCACTGTGCCTAGAAAAAGAAGCATCTATATGGTATTTGTCATAATAAAATGCACTTATTTCAGTTTGTTTTGAGTCTTTCTCCACCTGGATTACCAGCACGGGTTGCAAGTGGAGGTAAGGATTTAGTTCGACCGCTGTCTTCAGGGAAACATCTATTTGACACTGATAAATCCGAGTGGCCCCTAACTCAACCAGTACCTAAGTTGGAGGCCCTTGCTCAATGTTCTGGTAAGAAATATTCTCATTTTTAGCTACCAGGAATTTTTTTCAAGATCTAAAATATCTGTGACTTGTTTTGAAGCATTCATAGTAACTACAAGAAATGAAATTTCTTTGGTGATCAGCCATGCAAGTATGAAGTTAATATCCGATATTTTGAAGGCTATTTCCTTCTGTCATAAGGGAGTGTGATATGTTGAGTGCATGTTTTATCCACATTCAAACAGTATGCTGTTGGTGTACCAGCTGACAGCATTCTCTGTTGGTATAAATACAAAATGCAGCCATGACATTCATTCCACCATCATCTGATGATGGAGAAAGAAACAGTATCAGATAATCTGTATAATAATGCTATGTTAATAAAGCTGATCACCTTAGAAGACTGTATTTGCATTTAAAATGCTCTTGTTGCAGGAGAGGCAGAGTATGTAAATGATTTACCAGCAATACCTGGGGAGGCATATGCTGCTTTTGTTCTCACAAGTGAGGGTCAAGGATATATCTCAAATATTGATCCTTCAGAAGCGCTGGTAAGCAATTTTATAATAACAGGGCAATTTGTGCAACATCATTTGCAAGAATACTAGAGTTACACACTTTACTCTGATACTTTGGGACAGGGATTGTTAGTCATAGTGTTACATCCTCTAGTGATAGAGAATATGGTTGTAAGGGATATGGGAGTGGGCTGTTAAAAGTACTTCATGTTTTTAAATGGTCATTTTTGGAAATTACCAGAGGAAGAAATGATCAAAAATGTTAATCCCTCGCCAAATTGATGGTAAGCAGCAGTGACACTTACCAGCTATTAAGAGAAAATGCATGACTTTCCATCATAGATTGCACTAAAAGGGTGTATGTATCTTGCTTCTGAAAATTTTATTTGGGATTCATGTTGTAAGTATAATTTATATTCACCCAGTTTATACTAAAACTGAAGCACTATACAATACGCATTACAATTTATATTTTGTGGTTCCGGAGTTCGACGCCCAGATCTTTATTCTAGTATCTCAATTAAGCTGCAGTTCCTATAATATAGAACTAACCTATTATACACTAACATTTTAATTACTGTATCCTATTGCCACCCCTACTGATTAGTACTGTTCTAGGTTTATTTCTCCTTCACTTTCATCCTTTTTTACCATCCTTTCCTATTTCTCTTTGTATACATTCATATATGTTCCTACTTTCTGCCACTGAACTTTGTTCTTGCATCCTAGTTTCATTCTAATAAATATTTCTGCATCAATATTCCTAAACCTCTTGTCCAGAATTCGGTTCTTCACAATTTTGTTCCTTCACATCTTAGTATTTGGCTCCAATATTCTTCGCTGTTAAATACGAGACAAATTAATTGTCCAATGTTCCTACTAAATGTTTCCAAACTCCTATTTTCTACCATGTTATTCCTCTCATGGCTTCACCTATACATAGTTCTCTGTGTCTCTCCTTCTTCAGTTGTTCTTAAAACTGTCATACAATGCTAGTAGCTTCTATTTTCTTGTTCTTATTCATATTTTCATATCATTATTTCTACCATTCTCTCAATATCCCCCATGCCTGGTCTTTCCAGTTCCACTTAATTCTGCTCATCAAGTTGTTGCCCTTTTATATGTTTCTGTCGCATTGCATCACCTGATGGATGTGCATAATTCATTTCCAGAATTCTTAACAAGTATTTCATTATTCTAGCTAATAATTTTTCCTTCCTATTTCTCATCCCCCATTTTTTCACACAAGTACCATTTGCTGATAACAGTAGTGCCTTCATTCCACCGGTATAAAATAACTCCTGCACTTTCCCTATGCCCTACCACTTATCCTCCATCTCCCCAGTCTCATCTTCCATCATCATTCTTGTCTCTTTTAACAACGTAATAAGTGTTCTACTGATTTCACCTGTATATTTTGCAACCTTGCTAACATATATTAATACTATTCAGTACTAATTTCTGCTTACTAGATATTTGCTTTCTCTCTTTTCCACGACTTTTCTTACTCTCCAAAATTACCCCTAAATATCTGATGTCATCTGTTACTTTTGTATCCTCCATTGCCAGTATAAGTTTGTATTCTTACTTAATTTTCCTCCATTTTTGAAGCACTATAATCGTTATCTCGTCTACATTTTTCTCTAACTTCAGTTTTATATTAATGAGATAATATGTGTTAAAATTTATGGGCCTCAAATGTTTAAAACATGTATTGCCTGGAAATATATGAAAGAATACTACTAAATGACTGAATGTAACTGCGGCAATCTAGCGGCCATCTCTAAGAAGAAATAAAGAAAGTTCTGCTATTGATAATGTATTTATAATTTCAGAAAATTCCTGGTGTTTTGAAGTTCTTGTGTGCTGAAGACATTCCAGGACTTAACAGCTTCACACCATTAAAACCAGCCTTTGAAGAAAACGAAGAGGTGCAATATTATTTTGAATTTACCGCATTCCCTGCATGAGATATAAAATGTTTCAAATACATAAGCCTGACTTACTGACCGTGAACTCTGGTAGCAGAATCCTAAAGCACAATCTCAAGCCAATTTCACAAACTCTTCTTTCCCTAAAACCCACTTCTATGTTATTCTCTCGTCCTCTTTATGGTCTTCTAATTAGAGAGTTTCCAAGAGGTTTCCCCAACATAATGCTGCATAAATTCCTTGTATCCTTATCCCTGCCACATGCCAAACAAATTTTCCTAGAATTCATTGTCCTAACAGTAGGAGATAACTTACATTAACCGCAAAGTTCCTTGGGTAATACCCTAAATTACCCATTTACTTCATCCCTCTCAGGTCCTAATACTTTTCTTTATAAAGTTGGCTTTATGACACATATTATTTGTGTTTTTTTTTCACAATATCATAAATCATAAAGAGCTAGCCAAATTATATACTCCTAGTGTTTTGGAATACCAGTCACAGTGACCGTGCAAGTCTATGGCATGAATCATCTTTGCCTGCTTGAACACTGGAATTGTTGGCTCGAATCCCAATCTGGGTATGGATGTCCATGTGCATTTATTTGTTTTGTTCTGTGTGTAGGTAGCAGACTTGAGATAGACTGATGCCCTGTCCAAGGAGTCCTACTGACTGCACGATGCGGTACCCAAAAGAAACCGAACTATTTTTTTTTGTTGGCAGACCTTTTGTAGTACCGCGTTTTGCCGCTATGAGCGCATAGAGCTAAATTTCCTGAGTCGATAAGTCGACTACCGTTGCTTCAGAAGGTAAGGACTAGTTTCGGCAGAGTTTATAGTGACAACTGTTTTGTGTGATCGTCGTTTTTGCAATGGCCCAAACACATGAAAATGTTGAAAAAATTCGTGAAATCATCAAGGAAGATCGACGACGGACCATTGAAGAAATTGTGGAGCTGTCGGGCGTGACTTGGAGCTCAGTTCAGCGAATTTTGACAGAAGATTTGGGAATGAAAAGGGTGGCTGCGAAATTCGTGCCACGACTGCTGACTGCTGAACAAAAACAAGGTCGCGTGGAAGCATGCTTTGCTTTGAAAGAAGAGTCCCGAAATGATCAAAATTTTTTTTCAGCGTTTTGCTGATGTTGCTGAGGTGAAGGAAAAAAAACGACGGAGGCGCTGTCAAGCATCTCAAAAGATGAATTTAGACAATGTTTTGAAANAGTGTTTTGGTATGGAAATATGATAAACAAATTTTGAAATTATTGTTACTACTAATTTTGTTTCAATCCCATTACTCTTTGTTAGTGTTGCTCCTGGGTATAATTCAAAATACTTTATTGCTAAGTTTGTCTTTATGTCACATATGTACACTTTCTTTTATTTGTGTTTACATTTAGACCACTTAATTACACAGAACTCACTGCCAACAACTTTAGCGGTTAATAATTCACAAGTAAACATTTCTTAGTTGTCAGGATAAAAATTATTACACAACTTTCAGGTATTTTGCAGTGGAAACGTTAAATATGCTGGCCAACCACTGGGACTGATTGTAGCTGAGACACAAATTTTAGCTTTACATGCAGTTACAAAAGTCAACGTGGAATACAGCAATGTGTCAAGCCCACAACTCAACATGAGACATATAATTTCATCAGGTGATAAGACTCGGATCAGGGTGGAGAAAGAACCTGATGCAGCAGAAAAGGATGGTAAACTTTCAAAAATACAATAACGTAGTGCGAAATTAAGTGCCCTTATTATAGCTTTCCTTCATGCTATAATATTGTAAATTTTACTACTTGAGACTCACACTCCCTCTTCCTTGGACAATCTAAATTAATTTTCAAGTCAGCAACAGTTTGCACTCAGTCTGAATAAAATTAACTTCTGTATCAACCATGAAAGTATTCCCAGTTTTCACAAACTTGTTCTTCCAACTCAAACTGATCAACACTGATGGAATGAAAATTATTTGCTTCCTTGTAGGGATTGTAATACCATTATTTAATATAAGTGTTTGGAACTTATTCTGTCTGCACTGAATCCTGATTTTTGGTGAACTAGCCCACTGCACAGTAAGACAGTGAGAGTAGTATTAGTTCTGGAGGTTAGGAATGTTAAGGGTTGTGGTTGGCATCAAAATGTAACTGACTGACTTGTCTAAATAATGGAATGGTGCAGTCATTTTTCAGAAATGACTAGTTATTCAGGTGAGCAAGAGATATCCTACTTTTCATGGAATAAAAATGTTCATTACTATTTTCAAAAGAGCCTGCCACCAGACTTTAACACAGGAATATTTCAATCAATTTCATATCTACTCATAATGTTCCTTAAAGATCTACTTAAGTATGTTACCCCCATGGCTGTGTCCCCAAAATGTTAATGTTTTAGATTTCTTTCTTCCACCATGCATGCTAAATATGATATCCATCTCACTGTTCTTTATTTAATCACCTGAGCATTATTGGATTCAGGTGGTTCAGGACAGGTTCCAGTGGTTGGATCCTGTATGTATGGTAATAAACCTTCATATTCCATTAAAGTAGGGGAGTTTCTCGGCCATTTGAGTGACTCCCAACTTCTCAAATGACTCTTCTCTGCAAGGGTTTCATATTTGATCAACAGTAAAAGTTCTGAAATCTTCACTAGTGATTGGCCATTCTGCTACTGATTGCCTGAGAAAATTTTAACACACAACTTACAAATGTCATTACATAAGTTGCTCTATTATCCTTTTTGTTCATTTCTCTTACATTCAAGTATCTAACTTTTATATCAATGATTCTTACATATGTTTCAAAATAAGGGGAAATGTGGAGGCACTAACATTTTGGAAGTTTTACTCTGATTCCTGGAGAACAGTTTCCAAACTGATAATGTTTGCAGTTCCAGATCGTAATGAAGTGACTCATGTAATTAAGGGAAGTTTTGATATAGGAGGTCAGTACCATTTCACAATGGAAACACAGCAGTGTATATGTGTTCCAATAGAAGATGGAATGGATGTCTACCCATCTACTCAATGGATGGATCTCACACAAGTTGGCATTGCTCAAGCTCTAGCTATACCCGAGAACAGGTTTGTTCTGTACATTGTCAGTGTTACAGATCTGTGCATGATAAAAATACTATATCACACAGCATTCAAAGTCTTTCCCAGTACAGACACCTGCTTTCCCACATTGCTTGAAAGGCAAAGCTACATTATTTATGATTACTTATTTATTCATTATTAGTACCTGAGCCTAGTCCTTTTGAGTTTGAAATTGCTATTGCAAAGTTTAAAAGGTACTGTTATGAGTGTTGGCGGCTATAAGACGGGGTCTGGATTGTGGAATATATTTACTGACCATTTGCAGGTCGTAACTACAAATAGTTAGATACTATCAGTGATTTGGTAGGTAAAGTTGAGAAGATAGCAAGAAAACCATGGGTTACACAGGAGATGATGAGTAAAATGGAGGAGCGAAGGAAATGGAAGAATGTCAACAATGAAGAAGGCAGGAGGAAATACAGGAGACTGAGGAATGAATTGAAAAGAGCCACGGACAGGGCCAAAAAGGAATATCTTGAGAAGATATGTAATGAGATTATGGAATTTCAAAGAACAGGCCGTTATGATTTGATGTACATGAAGACAAAAGAACTAGGATGGAAAGAGAATCATGGGATTCAAAATGTTGGCATCGAAGACTCCCAGGGGAATAGAATAGTAGATCAGAGGCAAGTGCTGAAAATTTGGGAAAATTATATTTCAGAACTATATGATCGACCTAATCGGCCAGAAACCTTAGAAGTTGAACCGGAAGAAGAAGTAGATACAGACGAGAAAGGACCATATATTTTACAAAGTGAGGTGGAAAAAGCTATCAAGGAAATGAGGAAGGGAAAGGCTACAGGAGATGATGATGTACCTGGAGATGTGCTCAAGTTACTGGGAGAAGGTGGTTTGAAAACACTGACAAAACTAATGAACACCATATATGAAAGTGGAGAGTGGCCCAAGGACTTTACAGAAGTTACAATGATTGCCTTAAAGAAAAAGACAAAAGCTACAAAATGCAGCGACCATCGCACAATAAGTCTTATTGCACATACAGCAAAGATAATAGCAAAGATACTTAAAAGAAGAATTGAAAGGAAAATAGAGGATGTACTTGGAGAAGATCAGTTTGGATTTAGAAGAGGAAAAGGAACCAGGGATGCAATTGGGATGATGAGAATTATAGCGGAACGAACTTTGGAGATAGATGAAGAACTGTGTGTTTGCTTCATAGACTGGCAGAAGGCATTTGACCGGGTAAACTGGACCAAATTAATGCAGATCCTGAAAGAAACAGGTATCGATTGGCATGAAAGAAGATTGATTAGCAAATTGTACATGGATCAGAAAGTTAGAGTACGACTGGACAGGGGGGAGACAGGAAGTGTGCAGATTGGAAGAGGAGTTCGACAAGGATGCTGTTTATCACCAATTCTGTTCAACTTGTACAGCGAATGCCTTACCAAGGAAGCTCTGGATGGGCTCGGTGACTTCAAAGTAGGAGGGCAAATTATTCAAACTGTGAAATATGCAGATGACCTTGTGTTAATGGCTAAGGAAGAAACTGTGCTACAGGGCATGATTGATAGACTAATTGAAATTGGAAGGTGCTATGGCATGGAAATGAATGTGGAGAAAACAAAAGTAATGAAAATTTCGAGACAACCAACCCCAGTCACAATAAAGATAGACCAAAAACAAGTGGAGAATGTGAAATGTTTTAAATATTTGGGTAGCTTGTTAACAGATGATGGAAGGTGTACTTGTGAAATTAAATCCAGGATTGCCATGGCAAAAGCTGCATTTAGCAAGAAGAAGAATCTTTTTACCAGCAAATTGGACTTAAATTTGAGGAAGAAACTAGTGAAATGCTACATTTGGAGCATAGCTCTGTATGGGGCTGAAACATGGACACTTAGGGCAGTAGATCAGAAACATCTGGAAAGTTTCGAAATGTGGTGTTGGAGAAGAATGGAGAAGATCAGTTGGACCGATTATGTGAGAAATGAAGAAGTGTTAATTAGAGTCAGTGAGCAGAGGAATATCCTACATGAAATAAGAAAACGGAAGGCTAATTGGATTGGTCATGTTTTACGCAGAAACTGCCTTCTAAAAGAAGCTATCGAAGGAAAGATAGATGGGCGGATAGAAGTGACAAGAAGACGAGGAAGAAGACGTAAGAAGATGCTGGATGACCTTGGGGACAGAAGAGGATACTGTCATGTGAAGGAGAAAGCTCTAGATCGCATTAAGTGGAGGAATTGTTTTGAAAGAGACTGTGGACCTGTCGTCTTGACAGATTACTGATGATGATGATGAACTACAAATAACTATTAGACTATTGCTGATTTCCACGCTACAAATCATTCCACACTAAGTCTTTTCATTCTGCTTTCACTAGTCATTGTTTGGGAACAGCTCTCAACAATGGCTATTCCTCTGCAGTGTTTTCCTGTGCAATAGTTCTATTTTCCTCTGCCGTGCTGACGATGGTTGACCATTACTCAGTCACCCACCGAAGCTGGAGTGTACCCTGCCACGTCCTCGATGTTGCAGAGTACTTTAAACAGCTGTTTCAGCTGTGCATCAGCATCAGGAACGTCAGGAAATTGACCTACCAGCTGTTGATAAGCGTTTTATGCCTATCGGTCCAAAATGCCTGATACCCCGGCACTGAGATGGCAGCCATATTTGCCACGTGTACTCACTTTTGTCTGTCAGTTCTAAACTAAATACACTCTTAACCGGAACCCAACCTTCTTCAGCACCTAACTTGAGTCAGTCAAGGCGATATTAATGCAAATCCAAACAGCAAACAAACACACATTCCCTTTCACCACGAGATACGAGAAATTCTCACGTGCACTAACCTCCACGAAGAGATGATGTGATGATAACCTTTCAACAGCAGGAGAACCCACATTAACCAATGAGACTAAAGTGAACGACCATTTAACCTTTGATCATCCCAAAGCACAATTTTTTTCTGAATCAATAGCCAATAACCTCCCGGATCGGCTAGCATTTCGAGTTTGTCGGACGTCCACATCTTTATACTTTTGCCGCTAGGCGACACACTAACCAATGGATGCTGGAGCTGCTATGGTGATCGGTGATTGGGTAGCACTTGTGTGGCTGTATAAATTGACAGGTTGCAAGGTGTGTTGTATGAATATTGCCTACTCTTGCTACCCTGCCGGGAGGTATAAGAGGCTTAAACTTGGTGGCATTCAGGCTTACGACCGTTCAAGTGACTAGACTGCCATGGTAGCGACTACTACTAGAAATAAGGCATAATCTGCTGTACTGAGCCTGGAATGACAGAGGCCTTGTATATGTTGTACATAGAAATAGGAATTAAGATTAAATTTGTAAATATATGTAAATACTGACAATGGACTTACTAACACAGACTATGACTGACAAATGACAGACCCGACCTCTCATCAGAGAGGGCGCCCCAAATGGACAGTACACTAACTTTCATATAAGAAGAAACATCTGGTCATGAGCCCCAGCTGGGGCTCGACACCAAGACAGAGACTGACCGACCATCAGTCACTATGTGACTTTGACTGTGACTACCCTGTGGGAGCTGTTTGACTGTTAATAGTTGTCTGTTTGACTGTGGGAGGTTTCCACAACTGCTCCCATTTATACTTTCTGAAGAATCTGCATTTTCTAGTAGGTGAAATTCATAATTGTAATAACATTTTTATTTCAGTATTAATGTCAAAGTACGAAGAATAGGCGGAGGATATGGATCGAAGATTTCACGCAATTCACTAGTTTCTGTTGCATGTGCTCTCGCTGCTCAGATTCTCAACAGACCAGTACGGCTCATTATGAGCTTAGAGTCCAACATGGAAGCTATAGGGAAACGGTGTGACGCAGCTGTTAATTATGAGGTAAATGCTTGGTTTCCTTGGTGGTGCCATCTGTGAAATTTATGTTCACTGTAGCTGTGTAGCTCTACAGACAAGTTAATTCCAGTTCCCATAGTACACTAGAAGTTCCTGAGACCTACAAATTGTAGATTTTTAAAATTGTCTGTTTCAGACTTCTTAATTTAAAATCAAAGTACCAACGAAAATATTTGAAAGGTGAATATAATTACATAATATGTAGGACGATTGAACTGACTTCTTAGTAGTTTCAGATGAAGAGAAGAAAAAATACATACAGAATTTTATCAAAAAGAATCTTTTGGCTTTATATTCAAGTTGCCTAAGTATGATCCTTCTGACAGTGATTTTGTTCAGTGCTGGATGCATACAGGCCACGTCTGAAATAGAAGTAATGTGTAATTCACTATGAATCATTGCTTCTACTGTTTCTATAAGCCTGTAGGCAAAATTAAGGAATATCAGTACTGGTTCTATCATTGGTTTTAAACAATGAGTTTCATCCTCTTATTTACAATACAGTTAATTCTATAAATGTTGCAGGTTGGAACCGACAATGATGGAAAGGTACAGTATTTGAAGGCCGATTTTTATGAGAATGCTGGCGCTTCATGGAATGAGAAAACTGTACCTGACTCTGTTTCTTTCATGAAAAGTTGTTATGACAGCAGTAATTGGAAGGTGAAGGGTTACAGTGTTCGATCTGACATTCCATCTACCACATGGTGCAGAGGGCCAGGTACAAACTTTAAACAAACATAGCAGTAATAACACGTGAGCAGTGTCTGAAAAGATTTGAAAAATATCTGCAAGAAGATTAAATCACTGGGATTGTTATAATCACATCTGGAACATTAGTGGGGAACAAAGAAAAGCCAGAATCATAGTTAGTAGCTCCTTTCTAAGAGAATTGAATGAATATTTTACTTAAATTGGAGTGAAATCTCTGCTAATGATTGTGTGGGAATGATTTTCCTCAAGTGAAACAAAAGGTCCCACTAAATTTGTGTCTTCTTATAATGCCTACTACATACAATTGTAATAAATCTGTTTCTTTATATGAGTAGTTAAAGTAATTGTTTCTACACAAATAAATACAATTACACGCTGAATACCATCAAACGTAATTTTGAAACATTTGATAATACACGAGATAAACACTGACAGAAATAAACTCTTTATACTCAGATCAATATTATTTAATCAATTAAATTACTAAAAGTAATAGCTGGCACATGGAATAAACACAGTGCTTATGTGGGAATGATTTCTGGAAGAGAAAGAACACGAATAATAATTGCTGTTTCAACACTCAGTCACTTCCAATCAGGTTGCAAGTTTTGGAAAGTCAAAAATTTCTTAAACTAAATATAGGTTAATGAAGAAAGTTGTCTTCTGGGTTTAGGCACCGTTTAGGCCTAAACCCAGAAGACAACTTTCTTCATTGTCATCGCCGTGAAAACCTCAAAACTTACATAAATATAGGTTATTTGTTAAATTGAAATTTGTAAGAAAATTTTAAAAATTGTTATTTTGGGTGTTGGCCCACTAAATGTGGGAACACAAGATCAGGATTTAACCATATGTTCAGTACTACTGTATGCTACATACATGACACTGAGACAGACCCAATGCTTCCACATAGACCTTTTTGAGACACAACATTCATAGCCTACCAGATACAATCTCCTACATATTAACTTCATACAGAAACCTCTATAACACCTACATATGTAAGAAAGATCATAATTATGACACATATCTGTATGGCCTAAGAAAATTCATGTGACTTATAAAGAACAGCACACACCAGATTCAAACAGACAGAACTAAAATTCACAGCTATAGCTATGACAGAAGAGAGCAATCAACTCTTCACCATATGTAATGAACAACCACATTTATATACCTATGTTTTAACGATAATACACACACACACACACAATTTGTAGTCTAGTACTATGAATTTTGTTATAACATAACACACAACATTTCACAATTTTAATCACTGTAATCTTTACATTTTACAATTAGTACCACTAATACATTTCCAACAGCTATTTTTTATTTTTATTTTATTTATATGTTTTCAGTCGTTACATTGTTTTTACACATCCTGTACCTACTACTTATCTGTTACACAACACGTTCATACTTAATCTAGGCAAAGCAGTTTTACAAAAATCATTATATTAACTTTGTTCAATGTACAGATTCATCAGGAAGCAAGTAATAAATGTACCTAAATGCCTGATGGGCCGGTCACAGTAGCTGAGCGGTCTAAGGCATGCGCTGTCTTCGCTCGCTCAGAAGCTGGGATCATGGGTTCGAATCCCACTCAGGGCATGGATGTTTGTGTGCTTTTTTTCTGCGTTTGTCTACAGGTAGAGGCCTTGCTACGAGCTGATCACTCGCCCAAGGAGTCCTACCGAATGTGTAAGATCTAGTAAACCGAAGTGAAACGGAGAGTTTCATGGAGGTAGGCCTAGGCCCAAATTGGGGCTGTAGCGCCACAGAAAAAAAAAATGCCTGATGACAGCCTCTACAGCTGAGGCACATAGCTAAATGAATACATAATTCATTAATATTATATATGTGTTGTGTCAATTGTGTCAATGGAACTCCTCACAAATATATTACAACACAACATGATGCTCCGCTCCAACATTTCACCTTACAGAATATTAGGTGCACTGAATAAGGACAAAACAATCATAGTAATTATCTGCACTATGCCATTGGCCATACTTTCTCTGAATGAATACTACTGGAGTTTATTAGCAAAAAATTTGGTTGCAATGAAAAGAGAAGCACCATATTTTCATAAAATATTAGAACAAATTCATTATATACAGAGAAGCTCAATTGATACTGGTCCAAATTATTCTTATTTGTGTGTTCTAGGTGCCTAGTATAAATGAGTCTTGAAATAATTTTGGATTTTGAATGAGGTTCCTGGATTTTACAGTATTGAAGATTCATATTATGTCTTTTTGTGTTACAACATCCGATAGCAGCCCAGTTGGCACCATCGTTTTGGAGGAATTAATCTACTCTCAACATTAGCATACAATGACTTCTACCATGTAAATGGAGGCAGCCTATTCCTCCAAAACAGTGGCATCCACTTGTCAGACTACATGATGTTATAACCCAGAAGATTAAAATATGAATTGTATTTTTTTGGGGAGTGATTTCTATAGGCAGATTATGAGATTTGCATTGACAAATGCTGCTTGCTCAAGAACAAACTGCAGAGCTTAGTATGGGATCCAGCTTACTGCAGGATCCCACTTGCATATGTTCATCCCATACACCTGAAATGTCCCAGGGTTATGCTAAACATTGTTTTGCATCGCCAAATTGAAAATAGACATTAATTTTAACTATAAATGCTCTTTGTATATCACATTTGTTACACAAAGGCCACTTACAGGAAAGCTGACGAAATTTTCCTGTTTGCACATCACTTAATATGAAAAACAGTAGGTTACTAGTACACAAATAGAAAAAAATCAGCCATATGTTGATATTTGTTTAAGAACTGGACAGGAAAATTGATGAAAGCCTACATTATATTAGTCTTATATATGCTGAACTGAATTATAACTGTTGTTCATGCCTTCCCTGTTCCATAATAACATCAGAATTCCAAATGGCAATAATCATTATAGTAGAAAGAAAGTTTTACTACCAACTGAATATATATGTGTCTGGGAATGTTTTGTAACCTGCATAAATTACTTTAAGTGACAGCTAATATGGTCATATTTTTCTCCATAGAAGTCATTGCTATATGAGGTTCTTGCTGTGTTCATAAACCTATATTTGTGTGATTACAAAGTGGAATTTTTGGAAATTGTAACATGATGCCATGTGACATGTGGCCAAAGTCTCTCCGACAGTGTTATTGTCAAAAACACCAGCTGCTTGGCATGGTACGTGGCCATACTGAACTGTCACTATTATTCAGCAGCTAATATGCATTTTCCTCTCTTTAAAAATATCTACATACTCGTATATAATCAGTGAAGTTCAACTGTCTACCTTGTCCACCCTCTTTCTCCAAAATTGCACTGTAGAAGAAATTAGTAAAGACAAAAGATGTTCCCCTTGGAGAAGTGACCTTGAAAAACTGATAATTTTTCTGCTACCTGCATGGGTTTGAGTCCAAGCTAAATTATTTACCCACTACTTCCTCTATCAGGAAAGCATTTGGATCATGACAACAATGGGATTTTGATGACAAGGAGCATGTAAACTTTGCATGTTTACAGTAACAGTATAATAACATTGGAACTGTGACAACATGGAGTTAGTAGACTTGGTATGTTTTGTGAGAACAATGGCAATGAGACATGTATACAATATGTTTTGTAGTGATGTATAATAGATGTAGTTTCTGAAATTCCAGAACAGATTTTTCTGCATAAGAATGATGGTAGCTATGTAAACTTAGAGCTTAAAATTCTTAAATCAATACAATGAACTATCATCCATACTAATGCAGTGCCTGAAAGGGTTCACATTTCTGTAAAGCGTCATGTACATGAAAGTGAAACATTCCAATCAATACTTGCTTTGCTGGTTCTCAGAAATTATTTTCTGCCAGGTAACTACATACGAATATTTATAGAACAGTGTAATCCTTTATTACTTTTTTAAATCCCCATTGATGGTTGTCATATAAAGCACAACATACCATAAAGTGTTATGGAGTAAAGATCACTGGTATTTTTCACATCCCATAGAGGTTGCAGTTTATAATATTCTATCTTACTCACTAAGACATGATACATGTTATATCTTCTTACAGGTTCCACTGAAGGAACTGCCACTATTGAGCACATTATGCACCACATAGCTAAGGTTGTTAAGAAGGATCCAGTTGAAGTAAGACTTAACAATATGAGTGTTGATGATAATGCCACACCACAGATGGTGAAAGACCTGATAGTTTCTGCAGATTATAATGCGAGGAAGGAAAGTATTGATGAGTTTAATAAGGCAAGTTGCTCGTTTTCTCTCTTTTCTAGTTCTCTGCCCCCCCGCCAACCTTAATTTCTCAGAATCAAATCTTTCCACACAATATATATAATATTTAATTGTAGTGGTGTTCATGGTTGCCTCCTTCAAAATCTTTCCCAATTGAACCTTCATGTATCAACCAAACTTTCAAAGCATCATAACTATTCCACTGATAAAGTATAATTAAAACCTGCAAGAATGAAACAATGACTTAGTCTGTACTACTTGTCATAAAGTAATGACTAACAATGTGTAAGAATGGAGAAATGCAGTGTAAAACAGAGATGCAGAAATTGCCATATACGTATTTCACTGTTCAGTCATCCTTATTACTTATTGGTAAGTATTGTAATATACATAAAATATTTAAGCAGCACATTGTGAGTTATGAAGACTGCAAGAAAACATAGAGCTTGATTACACAGAACTGAGAACATGGGTACTAGAATATAACAGACAATATCTCCAAGAAAATGCATATGTAAGGCTTGGATATGAGTGTTCTGACAATTAGAGTTGAGAAAATGGCTATTATTTAAGAAATATTACAGCTAAATGTCAAAACATCATCTTCCATTTCTGCCGAATATTCAGTCAGAGAAAGATTATCAACATAAATATCTTTTGGTGATATTCAGAGAAAGTTACTGGTGTTTTAGAAATAAAATACTAGAATGTCTGTTATACTGTTTTCTGAATGACAGATACCAAAAATTGAGGAATAATTATACTGTTTTCTTCATCTTCTATAGATTTGCAACTCTGGCATGTTTCATTTTACAGTTAACTTATCAAACAAATTCTGTAGAGATCAAGTATTACGCTGGTGAATGATGAATCGGAAAGAATTTGGACAAAGAGCAAATGGCCAAATTAAGTTTGGAATTTGCCTGAAGGGACTGAGGAAATCCACAAAAACCTCAGTCAGAATAGATGGTGTACCAGCCTACATTCAAACTGACCACACTCTAAATACAAGTCTAGAGTGTTACTGTCTTCTTGCTATATACTGCTTTTAATAAATTAATTTAATATAAAATAAATTTCACACATATCAAATTCAAATTTTATATCCATGTCAGAATTTTCTGCTTATTATCTATTTTGTGCATCAGAATTGAAATCTATTACAAACAGAACTGACTATTTAGGATAAAAGTATAAGGGAAAATAAAAATTCTATGTTTCCATAATTATATTATGGTACTGTGCTGCACTTATAATTAATTTCAAGTAGGAATGGAAAATACAGTGCGTACAACCAAGTGGGCGCCGCCCACGGCGCGCACTTGATTGTACGCACTGTATTTGCAAGAAGAGGCTCCTAATTTGATTGAAAATACCACAAAAATTATTGCTTTTCATAGCAGTCTTGCAAGTTTTCAAAGGCCATACTATAATTTTGGGCACATTGAAGAAAATGCAGAGGGTATGTGGCATATATTCTGATGTTTTATTGTCACTTAGCCAGGAGGAACTATGAACACTGACAAAAAGTCTCTGATTAAATGTAATCACCAGGTGATAGTGAGTGGCAATTATTTATTAACAGCAGTACAATATAACTTTCTGAGTGTAACTACAGTAAATAATCGTTATGATGGACATGGATATAACAGACAAAATCTGGCTGTGTACAATAGCGAATTTTTAGGGATGATAAGGCACTGAGAACGTTTTGTGGTTACATAACTGTTTAAAATAAAAAACAACATAAAAACTGTTACATAATCACTGTGTGTGTTTCTCTGTTTATTGCATGTGCTGGCTATGTATCATACATTGTACTACCATGAATACCCCTTCACAAGGTTGTAGCGGATTTTGGAAATAATGGGNACATATACACGGTGCCAAATCCCAGAAGACTGCTTTCTTCAATGGACACCCTGTCCTCCCTATTTTTCTGAGGAGCAGTGGGTCTGGAACACAGTCCACTCAGCATCATGACTATAATTGAGGAGCTATTTCAAGGAAATAGCGGCTTTGGTCTAGAAAACCGAAGCTATCAGCCTTGGAGATTCGTTGCTCTGACCATGCGACACCCTCTATCTGCTAAAGTTGGCACTAACTTCGCCGACAAGTGGCGGTCGCTCGGTCGGTAAAGTGTGCTTGCGGACTAAAACCATGGAGTTTTGTTCTGTTTGTCTCTATTAGTCTATTATAGCGATGGTTTACTGCATTAAATAATGGTATTCTATTCTCTGTTCTGGACTACAGATTCTTACAGGAATGTCAGCAGCATTACTTCATGAAACTTTTTCTTTTCAACTATTGAAAATTTGCTTACAAGTAAAAAGAAGAAAAAAATTGTTATCACCTATCTGGACACAGGCTGTAATATGTCATCAGAATGTTTGTATAATTGCTCATTTGTCAGTCTTAACAGAACAGGCTAAATTTTCTTCAAGAAGAAAAAATATTAGAATGTTTGAGAGAAGATTTCAATATTTTCATAACAGAATAACCGTTGGACCAAGAGAGGTATTGCATTGGTGCCATTAAAATATGGACTAGAATATGAAGCAAACTATTCTGCGCTGGTATCTATATATGCTGGGGACGGAACAGTGGCTGTAACACATGGTGGAATTGAATGTGGCCAAGGAATAAACACTAAGGTAAGTTCAACTGCTGATTGTCTCTCAGGGCAGTTCAGAGATTTATATATTTTTCTGTAGTACAAGAATATGCTGTAAGTACAGTTACACTTGGCTAAATGTTTGGTGGATAATTATGCGTATATCAGGAGTGCTACTGCTTTATGAAATATAGGTAAGTACAATGAGCTGAGGTCTGGAGCACTCAACACAACCACTAGGAAAATAAAATCTGTTAAATTAATGAAAGTTTCAATGGTTTAATCTGTTTTATTGTCTTTTCCAATCAATGTATGATCCAGTTGCTTGAAAAAGCATCAGATGGTTTATAAATAAATAAAATACATTATTATTAAATTGCAGAGCAAGCCAGGATAGCACAGTGAGTATAGTGACTGGTATGGGCTGAATGACTGACGGGTTGGAGTTCAAGTCCCAGTAGGGTCTATAATATTCTCTTCTCCGCACCTTCCAGACTGGTTCTTGGGCCCACCCAGCCTCATATCCAGTGGGTACTGAGGGCTCTTTCCCCTGGGGCTTAAACAGCCAGGGCGTGAAGCTGACCACTCACCTCCAACTAGTACCGAGGTCAAGAAAACGTGGATCTATACATTCACTCCTCATACATCTTATGGTATAATGCTTAATTAGTTAAGCACAGGGACAACTTGACCTTAACACAGATCCATCTTTGCAAAAAAAAATGCTGTAATCAATCTTTATGCAAAATGATAAAATATGAAATGTCCTGACATGAAAGCCAGAAGAGAAAACCAGGTTAAAATAAGGTAAATGAAGTATAATGTGGTGTTTGTTAAGTGTTGCTTAGAAAGTGTTTATATGCCCAATTAAGCGACAAGAGTCAAAAATAAAAACAAATACATACATTACAGCTTGTGCAGTCTATGTGTCTTCCAAAATTAAGATGAGACCATGCTGTCTTAATGAGCTTTTACTTCCAACAATACTGCCTGTGCAAAGTTAGTATTCCATTTACTTTCTTTCACAGTTGGCTCTTATAAAACCATGTTTGTAATGTAAGAGGGTTGTGAAAGCTAATCATACTTGTTCAGAAGAAAGTTTTACATGTAATTTAATATTGAAGTAATCCATTTTTAGATCATTGTCCTGCTTGTTAAATGTATCAACTTTCCCCCATTGTTATCAAATTTTAGTACATGTTCTGCAGTATGCTACAGAACAGTTTAAAGAGCTTCAGTTCTATTTTATTTAAATTTCCATGATGGTAGTCCACATATCTTGCCAATGAATGGCTAATGTTATTTTTCAGTTACTGATGGAAGCCCTGCAGCATTTGATCCATTTTCTCTGCCTTTAATCTGGTTGTATACATAAAATATTTTGCCTCTGCAGAAAAATTGTAATAGTCATTGCCAGATTATATAGTCTGTAGTTCTGGCATTTTGTTGTGTTAGGTTTTGTTCTATTCACAGTCTCAGGATATTTAAATAAAAGGTAAAAAAAAGATAAATTTATCCCTGTGTTTAACTAATTAAGCACTATGCCTTGAAGGTGTATGGGGGATTGGATGTATAGAACCACATTTTCTTTACCTCAGCACAAGCTGGAAGTGAGTTATCAGCTTCACACCCCTGCCTCTTTACTCCTGAGGAAAGAGTCCTTGGTGTCCATTGGATAGGAGTTTGGGTGGTCCCCAGAGCCGGTCAGAACAACCCAGAGAAGTGAAAATCCTTACCCCCACCAGGACTCGAACTCCAACTCCTTGATTGTCTAGCCCATAGCCAGTCGCTGTACCAACTATGCTATCCCGGCTCTTACAGGATATTTAAATATGAATGTAATATCAAAGAATTTAGGAATTTAAATAAAAGATGAAATTAAATACAATGTTTTCTTGTAAAAGAAGAGGGAGTTCTGAGTCAGTTGTATGATCACACCATGGTTAATTTGGCCTAGGTAAGGGTATTTGTATTGTATTTATTTGCATGCTCCAACACATCCTTACATGGCCGAAGCCCTTGGATACAGAACCGGTCTCACAACAAGCCTGCTAAGTAGCAGGTAGTTGCTGGATAATACATATATACAACAATATTAACATGATATTAACTTAATACCCTTATATGTACTACAATACATCACATTAACAATATAATTATATTATAATTTAAATATAAATAAATAACATAAACACTCAATAACAATCCTAGTTAAAATATTCATCCAAAATATAATAAGATTTACGATGTAAAAAGGCATGTAAAGCCACTCTAAATTGCTTAATATCACAGACCAATTCTTTAATCTTCAATGGAAGATGGTTAAAAAGTTTAATGCCAGAATAANGTCTCTAGGTCTCAACCCACTCATGACTCTAATTATACTCTTTTGAATTCTAAAAATATGCACACTAAGGGGTGAATTACCCCAAAAAATAATTCCATAGCTCAATAGTGAATGAAAGTAGGAATAATACACCATTTTTAATGTCTCAATGGGCAAGATGGGTTTAATCACCCTCATTGAATAACAAGCCTTACATAATTTAGGCCTAAGCTGAGTTATATGAGCTTTCCAAGTGCATGATCTTTCTATAACAATCCCCCAAAATTTCATGTTTATATCATTTAAAATCCCATTATTACAATATCGAATAGAAGTTACATTATTCGTTCTAGGCTTTGTCTCAAATTGAACATGTTTAGTTATATTAAAATTTAAGGTCAACCTGTTTGTACTAAACCACTCATTAAGACAAGTGAAAGAGGTATTAACATCTTTACTATACTGGCTATTAAATTATGTATTTATAGAAATTATGTATTTCCCATTTCTTAAGGTTACAGGAATTCTACTAACTCAGGCAGATATAACAACTTTGATATGTATGAGGGTTGTACTGAAAGTCATGAGCAACAATTCTTTGTAAAGTAACATGCTTTATTACTGACAAACCAAATACACCACCTCAATCTACAGACCTTTCTTTATTTTTCCACATAATCGCCACTTCTTTGTACACATTTCCCCCAGCGTTCTGGGGGGGTTGAAAATTCCCCTTGTGTAAAATTCTGTTCCAACCATCCCAAGACACTGACACACTGTTTTTGAATTGCCTCCCTTGTCTCAAAACGTTGTCCACGCAGCTGATCTTTCACAAATCCAAAAAGATGGTAGTCGGAGGGTGCCAGATCAGGGCCATAGGAGGGATGTGGAAGAACTTCCCACCCAATCTTTGCAATTGCTTCCAATGTGAGGCGAGCGGTGTGGGGGCGAGCGTTGTCATGCAGGATGATGATGTTTCGTCCTGGACGTTTATTGCGCAATGCATGATGGAGCTTGTGCAGCATCTGGACATAACGAGCAGCATTGATGGTTTGCCCAGGTTCCAGGAATTCGGCCAGAATAAACCCCTCTGCATTCCAGAAGACTGTGCCCATCACCTTCGCAGCTGATGGCACTGTCTTTGCCTTCTTTTTGGATGGAGAATGCAAATGGTGCCATTCCATACTCTGCCGTTTCGTTTCATCTCAGGCTCGAAATGGTGAAACCAACTTTCGTCACCTGTCACAATACAGAGCAAAAAATCATTACCTTCGTGTCGATATCTCTGCAGCAGTTCTGAGGTGACGGCTTTTCACTGACCTTTGTGGTCTTTGGTCAATAACCGCAAGACCCATCGAGCATAAACTTTCCTATAGCCCAAGCTTTCAATCATCTCCTGTACTGCACTGTGCCCTATTCCAAGTTTTCAGGCTATTGTGTCCACAGTCACACGCCTGTCATCTTGAATGATCTCAGTCACTCTTTTCTTGTTGCGTTCAGTTGAGGTTGTTTGAGGACGACCACTCCGAGGCTCATCTTCGATGCTGGTGTTTCCATCTTTGAAATGTTTCACCCATCTTCAAACACTGCTTGCACCCATGCACACACTTCCATAAGCACGCTGAAGTCTCTGGTGAATTTCTGCAGCAGGGAAATCCTCTTTCACAGGAAATTCGATGACAGCACGCTGGCGAAACGACATATGGTTGTCGGCCATTTTGTTAGGAGTGATACTGGTCACGTGATGCAAGCTATTGACGTCACAAGTCACTCAAGGTTAATACAACAGCTGGTTCCACCTACCACTGTACTCTCTTTCATCTGCTGTTCCCAGGTTGCATGCAAAAAAAAGTTGCTCATGACTTTCGGTACGACCTACGTAGTTGCATGCTGGTTGTGTGCTTAATTTTTTGTTTACTTTACAAGGTGGTTGGCTTATACTATCATGCATAACGGTCTACTCAGAACATTGGACACACCAAAATACACTTCATTGTTTTGTCTGAAAAATATTACAAATTAATCCTACTACTTAAACCACTAAAGAATGCTAAGAACAGTTCATGTAATTTACAAAATCAAACCGAAATCAGACAACTGTTTCTTGAACTCATGTGATTTGGCAGAGCTCAACATGGCCACTTACATTACAGGTGGCTCAGGCAGTGGCATACACTTTGGGCATAGACTTGGAACTTGTGAGAGTGAAAACCAGCAACAATTTGACTGCGCCAAATAACAAATCTACTGGAGGCAGCATAACAAGTGAACTCTGCACATATGTGTGTATTACAATCGGTATATCAAACAATCTAGATTCTTTTGGTCTTTTTATGTCACTGATGCAGGTCATCTTGATGCGCCTCTTCCACATATAAATTTATGTTTAATTCAATTAATTTCTTCCTACTATTATTCAAATTCCATTCTCAAACCACTACATTAGCTTGATTTATAGAAAATGTTCTCCAACTATACCATGTCTATCTTTATTTTGCTCTTTGTTTTCTTCTCAATTTATATCATGAATTGCACGTCTCTTAGTTTTTAAGTCTTGAATTCTTGTTCCATATTCAATTTGCAATATGTAACATTGTAGTTCAGTGGTTAATACTCTTCTTTAATATTTATGAGGCCTTGGGTTTGATCCTATTTTGGGATTCTTTTTTTTTTCCTCAGTGCCTTCAGACAATTGCTGGCACAAGCCTTAACCACTCCTTACATTTACATTTATTTTCACTTCATGGATCCAATCATCTCCTCGCAGGGCTGGATATAAAACGTGTCACATTTTACAAATTCATGATGACTACACATCGTTCGTCCTTTGGCCAATATAATCAGGCCTCTCACAGATAGCTCACGTTGTCAAGACAACACACATGGGTCGTGGAAAAACCACTGTCAAATTCACGCCTTGCCATTCCACACACACTGGCAAGCCATTATCGTTAAAACAGTTACATTATAAAATATTAAAATTCATAACAAAAACAGACATCATACATACTTACAACAAGCAAGTCTCAACAATATATAATTCACGCACACAGACCATTTATTAACTCTTAACTTTTGAGCCACTTACATGCTCGACAAATCATCAGTAGAGTAAAATACGTTACTTTGCACATACTTTCATAAAACAAACTTAAATTGTTTTTTTATCATCTTTTAAACGCTGTGATATTTGATGGCAGAGTGTTATATAGCTTGACGCCTGAATAATACACCCCTCTCTGACAGGATGATAAATGTGTAGAAGGTATGTGAAGGTGATCATTCCTTCTGGTACCAATCACATATACAGAGCTATTGGTTTGAAACTTACCCAGATTATTAATAACAAATGTCATCAATGAAAGCACCACATCATTCCTTATTCATAATGCACAGTCATCCTCCTGTCTGATACTGTATAAATGATGTACATAATTGAGAATCAACCAATAATTGCTCCATTCTGCATCCTTATGAATTCATTGTTCATATTCTTGCTACAAGACAATGCTATTTAACCTGTACCATTTAGAGTTTTCCATTAAATAAAGATCAGTCACTCAAACTTTGGCCTGATGCTTTCCTCTCGGCCTGCAATTCATCACCATAAAAATAATGAACAATAACTGAGAATACTCTCTCATTGCACTATGTATGAGATCTGTTTCATCTTATCTGATTAACTGAATATGTGAATGAAGTAGAGGCCTTTGTGAGAAGCCAGTATTTGACCAATTAGCCACAAAATTCTCTGCCTTGTTTAGAGACTGAATGTTATTTATCATGTAAGATTTGAGGCTTTCATGGCGGTGACTATGAAGAAAGCAGTCTTCTGGGATTTGGCACCGTGTATATGTGGTGTTAACCGACGTTTCGGAGGAGGGGTTTTGTCTCAGCAAGTCTTGGAAACCTCTTATCTGTTCTCTTAAAAAACCCCCACCGGGATATGACGCCAGATCCAGAAGGCCACAAGGCCATGACCAACCAACATAACAACCCCCCCCCCCTCAGCTTACGGTTTAGAGCCCAGCCTTTAACCTTGCTTTTTATCTCCCGTACACAAAACCACGCTTGCCCCAGCTCCCTTCCCCTACCCCTCCCACACCACTGCTTTCACTTGTATACTTGCCCTTTCCCCCTTCCCTCTCTGCTCACACATAGCTGTGTTATTTCCAGTCTGCTTTTACCGTTCTCACGGTCTTGTCGCTTGCAGATTTCCTATACTTTTTCTTCTACCCTGAAGATGGAGGCAATACGTTCCTCTGAAACGTCGGTTAACACCACATATACACGGTGCCAAATCCCAGAAGACTGCTTTCTTCGTTATTTATCATGTTCACAAGAACCTGTCACTGGTTCCTGTCCTGGGCCACGTGATTACCCTCACTCTGTGCACTCTCTATTCCTTTAAGATCAATTTTAATGTCTCCTCTCATCAACACTTAGAACTCTGAACTTCTTCCTTCAGGTTTTTCCAATTAAAACGTTGTGTACATTTCTTATCTCTCCTATATATGCAAAATCTCCTGCATCCTAATTCATTCAGTGATCCTAATAATATCTTGTGAAGATTACAAATTGTGAAGCTTCTTATTTCACTATGTTCAAAAACATGATACCTCTTCCAGTACCTGTTAAATGTGCTTCCTGCTGTAGTCCATTCAGTACTCATGTCATTTGTTCTGGTCTTCATCTGAAGTACCTTTTTTATGAATCTGAAGTAAGGTTCAAATCTGGGTCCTCATCATGGAAGGACAGTAGACAAGTAGAATGAATGTACAACCAGTATTCCCTAAGTAACTAATGTATTTTTAACACTAATAATATTATTGGAAATTGGAAATGGAATGATTAGGAATTACGTTGAGAGTTTGTTAAGGCCATTTTGTAATAAAATATTAAATAATTATATTATAAAAATATAATTTATGTACTTCATTTACATTCAGGTTTAATAATAATAAATGATGGCTTATTCTAACTGGAAACTCACAATCTAATATGAGGGCAGTTTATAAACATAACTACTAATCTTACATGAAACATTACAAATGTGGCAATGGGGCAAAAATTTTGTGTCTCTGTCCAGAGATTTTCAAGTATTGAAATTTTGGGGAAAACTATATCTCTGCATTTTATAAAATAATGTAAATATACAAGTGAAAATAATTCTTTCTGAAATTTCTTCAATATTTACTTTGAGTCTTTAGAATTCCTGTATAATAACCAAAGATGGTTCAACCTAATTAAATGACAGAATATGTTGTAGATCTTCTGTCAGTTACATTAAGGGCATGTATATTCTATACTTTGTTAAGGCTGCAGTACAATGCTGTAAAGAGCTCTTGAAACGTATGGAGCCAGCAAAAAAAGGTCTCAAGAACCCAGCATGGCCACAGTGGGTACAAGCAGCTTACCATCAAAATATTGATCTTTGTGCTACACACATGTAAGTTGAAACAAACAGTTCTCAATCCATTGATTAGTTGCCCTAACCAAATGGATGTTGGGGCTAGGCAACACAAAACTCAATAATAATAAAATTCAGTATAACAAATGTTCAGTTTGATGATTAAGAAGAAACAAATTAAAAATTTCAGAATAACGTAAGATTCTTCAGGCTTCGTAGGCAGCCCTGTCTAAGCAGATCCAGTAATTTCATTTCCCTTAAATTCCCATTTAATGGAACTCACCACTAAATACAATGAATAAGTAACTTACATTGCCTTTTGCATGCACTAAGTGCAAACTGAAAGAGCTGACAGAATAACTATGTGACTTGTAAGAGTGCTACATATGAATGTCAGTTACACAAAGATGTGTGTTGTGAGCTTAGAGAGAGTCTTCATCAGATGTATACATTATACTGCAAAAAATGATATTATGATTATGAAGGCTGAATTGGGATTAATGAGGAAGTAACTGTGGCCCATTTAAACATGCTATCCCAGAATGTGCCTTCAGTGGCTGAGAATGACTGTAATTCTTACTCTGGATATCCTGCACCTGAGGCTGAATTAGAACTTAGGACTGCCAGAATATAAAACAAGGGAAATAAATGTTTGAAGGAATAATTTGAGACAGTTATTTCCTTTATTTGCAAGTTCAAATACAGATTATGGTGGAGGCTCTCTACTATGGTATAGTATAGTATAGTATTTATTCAGTATTCCAGGTATACACAAGATGGATACAGAGCTTGTCCTCACTCAGTACATACAGACAAATTACAAAAGTTGTTTACATGGAACATTACAACAGTATAAAATATACTCGTAAATAGTTAAGGCCTTAGATTACATAAATAAAAAAGTCAGAAACAAGTTATTTAAGAGTTACAAATAGTAAATAAATCTTTCAGATTACAGAAAATGAGATTAATTGGCAATGCACAGGTAGAACTCATAATTATAACAAAACAGGCATTATACAATCAGTTTACAATGAACAAAAAATCATAAATTACAAATATAATACACAAGTGAGCCATAAAATTTACATTCAGATATGTTTATTATAACTACTCTCATTATTGATTAAAGTACTCTTCTAATGAGTAGAATGAATTCATGTATAAACATTTTTTTAAAGTGGTTTTGAATTTAGCTATGTTACCATTAATATTCTTAATATGAGGGGGTAATTGGTTAAAGATTTTTATCCAGAATAATGGGCTCCTTTTTGATAAATGGATAAGTTTGCACGTGAAATATATAAATTATTACTTTGCCTAGTTTCTAGGTTGTGACTATTAATGCTTGTTATAAGAAGGTCTTTATGTTGAACTACAAACATCAATAAGGACAATAAATATTGAGATGTCAGAGGCAAACTATGTAATTTCTTAAATAAGTCTCTACACGAAACCATATTCCCACATCCTCCCATAATTCTAATAGCTTTTTCTGTAAACGAAAAATTGTGGTGCTATGTGGGGAATCACCCCAAAATATGATTCCGTAGCTCATCACCGAGTGAAAGAAAGTATAATAAATTATTTTTAATGATGTGGTAGACATGTATGGTTTGGTGCTTCTAATTATGTAACAAGCCTTGCTAAATTTTTTTGCAAGTGCTTCAATATGATTATCCCAAGACAAAGTTTCATTCATTATCATTATAACTTCCCAGGGCAGTTTTTGAGTGCACATTATTTCTTCCTGGTTAGGTTGGATTTAGTTTGGTTTTGCTTTGTTATGGCATGTTAATTTAATTTACCTTAGCTTAGGATGAATCCCTAATATAATCATCAGTTACTTTCATTTACCTTCTGTGAGGTTTCTTCAGTTCTGGAAGACCTTATGCCATAAAAAGTGTTATGCATGCATGTTTCTGTCATCAGTAATCATTGTAATATTTCACATGAAACCATCAGTTTGAGTTGAAAAAGTGGCTAGACCAAACTGAACTAAAACAGACTTGAAGTTGATTCTTGGTTACAAGGCACATGCATACTCTTTTGTTTGTAGGTACCCATACAATGATGATGTGAAAGCTTACAATATTTTTGGAGCTACAGTTTGTGAAGTAGAGGTCGACTTGTTAACTGGTCAGTATCAGGTGAGTCCTGCCTTTAAATTTGCAGCAATTCTGGCATGTGTCAGTTTTAATATTATGTGCTGCACTTTTAAGTATTCATGTAAATGAATCATGAAATCATTGAGCAAACATTTAATAGCAAAGCACTCCTTACTGACAGAATTCTTGATAATAATATGTGTTCATTAAGACAATAGGTATGTTATAGTGATTTATAGTTTTAATCTAACATAAAAAGAGAAAAAGTCTGCATGTGGAAGAGGTTTTTACATAGTCACTTCAGTGATACAAGAAGGAAAATATATATGCATAAAAAGTATGCAAATGTAATGATATGAAAGGAACTAACGAGAAACACCAACATAGATTTAATTGTATAAAGCACCTAGTAGATTGCATAATCAGTGAATTACCATATTGTGGTGCAAAAGTACCTCATTCAGAAAAGTTACTGTAACACACTCCAAATAATTATCAGCTGTAATTCAGGTATGTGGTATCCTTACTTAAGTTCTTTTCATAGGTACTGTATAATTACATATGAGAGTTTTAGCACACATTTTATTTCATTTTTTTATATCTTCTCTTAATTTAGATAGTTTCAAACTCTGCGTTTTATCCTGAAAAATTTTAAGCTATGGCACTTTGAATTTTTGTGGACTTTTTGTAAATAAACACCCATGTAGTTCGCTTGCAGACTCCAGACAACAGAGTTTGTTTGTTTTTTNTTTTTTTTTTTTTTCAGATTCTTCGAGTGGATATTGTTGAAGATGCTGGCAAGAGTATGAGTCCAGAAATTGATATTGGTCAGGTTGAAGGTGCCTTTGTGATGGGATTAGGTTACTGGCTTACTGAGTATCTTCTATATGATCCAGAAACTGGAAAACTCTTGACAAACAGAACATGGGTAAGTATGCTAACATATGTTTGAACTGACATGAACCTACCTTAGACTATGTTAATAACTGTGACTGTTCTGTTTCAAAACCTGTACATTTTGTATAATAATCAGTTTTCATTTTTTACCACAGGATATGCTGAATTATCTCTTCTAGTCATGGCCATTTAACCTGACAGAAATGTGGTAGAGTTTTTATTATCTCTTAAAGAAGTTATATGAAATTATTTTTAAAGAGACAGTGACTTATCCCTCATCAGTTGTCCCAGAAACTCAGGACAGTACTACAGAATAACCTAAGAAACAAAAGTTAATGCCTAAACTTGGTGTGGGAATAAAAAAAGAAGTATCTTTTTAATATGGGCTATCAACAAGGGTCAGAATTGTGAACTGCTTATTTTTTTATTAGTGTGTGCTATTAATAACAGTGTAAAGGAAGGGACTGTCATGTATCAGACAGCAGATAACAGTGCAGTGTAACAAGTGGATATTTTCTTAATCTTATTATTGAATTATTTTTATCATACAACATACTTGAATTTCATAATCAATTTCCATCTATTTCACCTTCCTACTATGTTGAAATTTGAGAAAATATTAAGGCATGTGTAAGAAGACAGAGCAACTATGTGTATATTTTCCATATATATGTATACAAACAACTGTAATCTTTACTATTATATTACCATGGTTGTAGGCTTATCAACTTCAGAAGCCATAAGTATCAATCTTTGCTGCCTTTCTTATATTTTGCTTTGGACTTCCAGAGAAAAAGCATGCAGTGCTTTGTTTGTAAAGGAACAGTTACCTTGTACACATGCTCCTGATAATCTTTTAAAAGTAACTTTTCTTGTTTTCAGAATTACAAACCACCAGGTGCAAAAGACATCCCTGTAGATTTTCGCATTCAGCTAAGAAGAAATGCACCAAACCCATTTGGTGTGTTACGTTCAAAAGGTGAGACGTTCTTGTTTTCATCTTATGGAAAAAAAGTTGTTCTATTCAAGGATTACTGCAGTTGCTAAGAGGCCAGCCACTGGTTGCAGCAGTATCTCCAGTTAGCACTATTATTTCTGTTGTTTAACTGATAATACTTACAATATTACCAATAATATTTATGCGTCACTATTAGTTTAGATAGGGGAATTGCAGTTTTAAAGTCCAAGCCTAAAAGATCTCATTCAACTTGAACTCAGATGTGCCCACTTTACATGTATAACACCGTTCATTTACATAGCAGGTAAATATTTGCCACCACTCAGGTCGCTATTAGGTATCATCCATAGTGTTCTTTCATGCCTTTAAGATGGCACTTAGCAAAGTCATAACATCTTCAGCAGCAAACAAATTCTCTACTCAGATAGACAGTACATTCAGTGCATTTCATAGTACATGTACTAGCTAGAGATATACAGAAACATCTTCATTAATTCCTTCCTTAGCTTTCTGGAAGTTTCTTCTGGTATGTCTAATTATATGCAGTAGCTACTTACTGCTAGGAACACGGTTAAAAATGCATAGAAATGATGTCCAGGGATACAATACCACTCTGCAGATATTAATTTATAAGTTTCTGCTCAAATGACACTGTTGTTCTTAACAAATATCGATGTTTCAGTTTTTACAGTTTTATTTTACTTGGCCCTAATCTGTTCTGTATAACTGACATCTGATACATTCTGAAGGTTTAGTACCATTATGGGATGCCGGGTCTGTCTTCAGGTAAAAGTAATGGATACCATGCACTAGGTGTAGGCCTATCTAAGAAGGCCCATAGTGATATTATCTTTCCTGTACTTAAAGATGAACAGAGAGCCATACTTTGTATACTCAGCTGTATACACAGCATAATGTTTACTTTTCAATTAGATGCTGATAAATATCCAGGAGTATTCTCCAATATACTCATATTTAACTCCCTTGAATTGCTTCAACAGATTCATATTTCACATATTTTAGATGAGCTTTTGGATTACATAAAACTTTATTTCCAGTGTTTCATTGAAATAGGTCTTACACTCTCAGCATTTATTATGAGTGTTCTGAAAGACAAGTACTTGTATTTGTATTTATCTTTAACATTTATTGTCTTTCCTCCTATTCGTACCTCCCAGAATGAAGCCAATGGAGATAGATGTTGAGATTTATATTTTAATTCCTTAAGGCTGTTGTAATCTGGCTATGATATTGACTCACATGTATTTTTATTTCCCAGCCTTTTTTTGGGTGAATAAATTACAATATTATTACTGAGTAACTGCTTGTGGTGAAAGATCAATTTCTTTTACCTTAGTGGTAAATATGAAAGTAGTGAAATACTAAAGTTTGAAAGAACATCTTTGAATCCCCTTTGTACACCTTATGACATAAGCTATCCATGTAAGTGTTAAAAGGCAGAAAATTTCAAAGTTTTTGCTTCACCTCAAACAGGTATTAAGGAACGTGCATCTTCAAAAGAAAACTTCATCATTCCACATGAAGAATAGCGATCTTCTTTTGTTTCGTGCTGAACCAGTATATTACAGTGCAAAATTTTAAGCAGCATTCTAATTAAGGAATTTTCCTATGAAAGCCATTTGTTCTTGAGTTGCATTATTATTAGCCACTACCTAGCGATGACTAGTGAACAAACAGAAGGTTTTTAGATGTGGTGTAGATGTACTCATCTATAAATTACGTAAATCAATGATTCTGCTATAGTTACGTGCAGTGACAAGATATAAAATTTCAATACATCCATTTATCAATTCAAACCCCATGTCTATTCATTAACATGTGACAATATTTAAAATTGTGTTTGTTGTTTAAATTGCTCTTGTTCAAGTTTAAGCAAATTTCGATCATTGTGGTATGTGGTTTATAAACAAGAATCCGCAATAATGCATCAATTTCATTTTGTTAGGTAATTTTTTTCTTTAATTCGCTTAGTGGGGGATGGAGGCCACGGCGCCACGGGATGGCACAGTGGCCACTGATTGGCCTATTGTACCTGCCCCGGGTGATTATGATGATGGAGAATTTGGCAGAATGAAGATTAGCAGGGGAAACCGAAGTACTCGGNTTTTTTTTTTTTTTTTTTTTTTTTTTTTTTTTTTTTTTTTTTTTTTTTTTTTTTTTTTTTTTAAGGTAACATGATGCTGACCATTTGAAATAAAAGTACATTTGCAATAGTCAGTCTGTTCGAAGTTTATGAGAGTTTATTTGAAAAATATTCTGAGATAAAGGGAAATTCTCACTGTTATTTTGTCGGTATTCTCCAATTTCACTGAAGTCATTGGCAGGAAAATATACAATTTATGCAAAACTTCAGGGCATCAATGAACAGTATTGGCTACTAGATAAATAATGTGTGTACGTACTTTATTATAGCAACTGGGGAGCCTCCTCTCTGCATGAGCTGCAGTGTTTTGTTTGCCCTGAGATATGCTCTGGATTCTGCTCATGAAGAAGCTGGTAAACCTGATGAATGGTATCAAATGGGTATGTGAAAATAACACTGTATTGAAATGAGTACATCACAAACAAAATTGGAGCACACATATCAAATAATCAATTATGCTGTGCTAATGAGGATTGTAAGATTTCCTGTACATACTCCAGACAGTTCTTTCATAACAAGATTTGGGTGAAGAAAGCAGTCTTCTGGGATGTGGCACCGTGTAGATGTGTAGATGTTGATTTGGGTGTTCAGGAGCATGATACTGCATAATACAGATGCCAGTGGCTCAGGGGATGCTGCTGCTGCCTCTGTCTTCAGGATAGAACATATTTCTGCCCTGAAGATGGTAGGAACAGTTTCCCCTGAAACAGTAGTACCTGTACGAGTACTATACAGTGTTAGGTCCCTGGGGGGCATTGCTTTAATATTTGCCACCACGGCAAACCAAAATCTGAAATCTTTTACATAATATTAAAATATCACATGCCTTATCCAATCTTGATTGCATGACATGTCATCCTGTAATACTTGTAGAATCTATTTCCAATCCACAAATTTGACTGCCTGAAGGTTGTTCAGGGTCCTCTTTCTTGGCTATTGTTATAACAATACCTTAAAAGTCATATTGATCTAATACTAATAATTTTCACATAAACACCATTTCTGTTACATGCTTGGCAGCAGATGTGTTAACATAATACAGGATGTGAATCATTACATTGAATTTCAGGAATTCAGTTCTATATTCTGAACTGAATACAGTGGCAACTGCATGAACAATTGAAACTAATATCATGATTGCCAGACTGTTGCTGCTACTGAATATATTGATTTGGTGCTAATGTGACTAATTTGTTTCATCATTTAACTCAAATGGTTTGGTCCCTTTGTCATACTGTTCCTTACTCTCTTCGTTTCATGAGATAAGTTTTTGCCTTGCCACTGCATGTGCAGTTTATAGTCTCCCTTTTAATTCTGTGAGGTAGTCCTAGTAATTGTATTGTATGCTGATTTGAATCCATACACTAATTTGAATAGTGTGCATTCAGTAGCGGTATGTGTAGTTGTGTTGTACACATAAATAGCGTATGGCACAAATTTGTCCTGGTTGCTCAGATCCTTGTATACGTAGTGGCGGAGGTACTCCGCTAGAACTCTATCTGGATGAAATGTTGTACTCTGAATCTTTTTGATCCTTGGTAACTTACAAGTATTCTTGAATAAATTACGATTTTGACCCTTGGTCAGTTAGAATTTCTACGGGTGCTCCAAATTTCAAAACAATATTCAATACGAAAGCCTTAGGGGAAGTTCCTGCATTTTGCTGCTTAAATGGTGACACTACTATAGATTTACTCAATTCATCTTGGAACGTTGATATTTCTTTATTTATATTTATATTGTGATTCACTCTCTGTCAACGGCCCCATGATATCCAAGGAACATTTCTCAAAAGGATGGCCGGCTGTTGTAGTTATTTCCATAGACGTTTTATTTTGCCCTCAATTCTTTATTCAACTGACACTTAGTACACTTCCCCACACACTTTTCTACATCTTCCTTCATATTTGGCCCATAGTAATGATGTTTAATAGCCTCCTATGTCTCATTCATGCCATGATGACCCCCGAGAATCGAATCCTGATTTTCATGCAATATTTTGCCCTTCATCGCCTTAACTATTTTCTCCGAGTCATCCACTTCCCTATTAAAAGTACCTATTCTAGGCAATGCATCAGTGTTTCAATTTTCGGCTCCAGGTTTATACATAACCTCATAGTTGTAGTCCTTGAATCTGGGTCTTTCACACTTAGAGCTTTTACGAATATTGTGTTTTTGAACAATTGCTGCAACTCCCTCTCTACCACACTGCAGCTCTTCTCGGTTTTATTGGAGCTATGACTTGCATATGCAATTGGTCTGTCTTTATCTATCTCTCCCTGAGAGAGAATCACTCCTGCGCCTTCGTTTGACGCATCAGTTGTCAAAATAAAATCCTTGGAGAAATCAGAGTACTGAGGACTTGTTGTGACATTAACTTCTGCTTTAAGGTCTGTAATGCATTTTCTTGCCCTTCCTCCAAATCATTCTTAAAGTCATTCTTCAGGAGCTTGTGCAGTGTAGCTGCGATTTTGTTAAGCTGAGGTACAAACCTCCTATAGTGTCCTGCTAGCCTCAGGAAGCCTTTCAATATTTACCCGTTTTTGGAGTAGGGAAATATTCAATTGACTTTAGCTTCTTAGGGTCCCATCGAACCTCGTCCTCTGAGATTATGTGACCAAGGCACCTGACCTCCTTTCTTAAAAATTCACGTTTGTCCGACTCTAGAAGCCTGAACTTTTGTTTCCTACTAGCATTAATCTTTTTAGCCACCAACAAAACTGTACTATTCCATGGTGATTTACTTTCTTCAGTGATTCCTTCCTTTCATAATTTACCCACCTGATTTTTTACTTCCACCTTCTGGATTTAAGGAAGTCTATAACGGTTGGTATTTATGTTCGGTTCCTGGCGGCATGTATCACATGCTGCGTTGCTTACGTGTTACTCAAAATGTCTCCCAACAAATAGAATAGGTCTTTATATTTCTGACATATTCCTATTAATAATTTATTTTTCCTCCTCATTTAGATGATTTGGTCTCAGCTGCTTCGAGATCCTCTTTTCCCTGCCTTTTTGTTTTTCTTCAGTCGCATCTGACAAATTCCGTACTGATAATTTCATCCAGTTCCACAAACGGTTCCTGAATTTCTATCTACACGTCGTTCATATTTAAAATGTTCGTTATCACATAAATGTCTATCATTTTGACCATTACCCTGCCATCAAAATCTCCTCTTGAATTTTATGTTTGCCTGGGATCTCAACTAATAGCAATCTTTCCTCACCGGTAATTCTACAACACATTCCGAACTTTGTGCTAAAATTATTTTTATGTTTCCTCGCGTCTTTTCTATCTTCGCGGTTTCTGTTTGTTTGGCATTCACCATTTTGATCATCTCCCCATTTGGATTTACACACTGAGTTTTATGATATATTTACACTTTTCATTTAGAAAGAAATCCATTCCTAATATCCCGTCACAAAGAAAATTATTATTGCAGTTACCTGTCCCATCCATCTCCTTTGGCGACTTCAGTACCTACAATATCCTCTGGGTAGGTTAGTCCTCACTAATGAATAGCGCAGAATTTTTCCAATGTAAATGTATTTAACGTAGGACCCGGTACACATCTGTGCCAAGGATCATAGACCTCGTCTTGTCGGGACCTTGCCTTCTGCAGACCAGGGCAAATAGACCGTCATTTGTGGTCCTTTCTTACAAATGATTCTATACAGACTAAGTTGACGTCCTTAATAACTCCGTAACGATGTGCGAATTATCAATCTGTGACCCTGTTCCAGATAGCAGGAGTCTTCTTGGCACCAGTAACTTCTGGAACAGCTTTCTGAACAGTGTACACTTAGAACCTGGACAATCTGCGTTCTCATTGCGACAGAATACCATTTGTTGAGTTCCGCTGAAAAGCACTCAATACAGCCCCATCACACGTATTGCGATGCATTCGTTCACCTGGTCAGGCAACGTGTACGAGTCATAGCTACTCGCAGTGTGGCTACAGCTTTCATCGCTTTCTTGATCCTATTGAGATCCGCTTGCCTCATAACATTCCCAGTAAAAACAACAAAAAAAGAAAAACTCTCCGTGGCCTGTAGTCCTCAAGCGAACTATACCGACCAAGCGACTGCCGCTTGTCATCAAAGTTAATGCCGACTTTAGCGGATAGAGGGTGTCACGTGGTCAGCGCAATGAATCCCCACGGCCATTAATCTTGGTTTTGTAGACCGGAACCGCTGTTTCCTTGAAATAGCTCCTCAGTTATCCATACAAGGCTGAGTGGACTGCCTTGCCGTTTCCTCAATTTGCGCTGCACCATTCAGTAACATGTGTTCAACTCAAGGCTAATAACCAGGGCCCGGATTTTGATGACATGTCATCTTTTTTTCCTTGTATCCTATGCGATACTCTTAAATATATAAATCTCCGATATGAGCTGCTGGTCGCAGAAATGTAAATTTTATAGGCAATTTTTTTGTCATTTTTGACATTTTTAGGTTTAAGGTTATTTTTTAATTTTGGGGGTAATTTTTTGGTAAATTTTTGGACTTGTAAGGGTATTTCTTGTCATTTTTGGCCATTTTAGGGAATTTTTCTTCATACGTTTTCTGAAATGTGAATAACATGGAAGCAAATTGTTCTTTCTTTTCTCCTTTAGGTCATTTTTCTGGATTTTTTCGGTCATTTTATAGGTCATTATTTTAGATATTTTCAGGTCATCAAAATCCTGGCCCTGCTGATAACAGTTCTCAGAAACTGCGGTTTGCGTTGCGGTTGTCAGTTTCCTTGGTGTGCCCTCGACCTAACAGTGCATATACTGCCGAACTTTACATCTGACCTTGTCCATTTATTCGGCAACATTCTTGGCGCCGAACCCCATGTGCCTTGCAGTCTTCATGAGCACATGCCGTACGATCCTGCAACATGTGTTCCACGTCCATAAGGCAGAGAAGTGTGTTATGTTTTATTGGATACTTGGCCACAAATTTGCCATCTGCGGATGGAGTTGTTGATGAAGCCGGTAAAGAAGCTGCTTTACTTGGTACTTTTAACACCAGAGCAAGCGCTGGATAATGGTGCTCTTGCTTTTTTTCGTTGCACTATTATGTGGTAGAAGACGAATAGGCCCAGCCAGTGGAGAGCAAATTACGAATAGGGAGACCTTCCATGTTTGTTTGGCGTTCCTCCAACAGCTTCAGGAGGATTGAGGAAGTTATTGTAGCACGGACTCCTATTGACCACACTCGTCTCTTACACGGCCAATTTTTGAGAGATGCCAAGGAAAATGTTTATAACCAATGTGGAGTCCAGCTTACAGTTTTACACATCCTGCTGTAATGTGCACATTGCATGATATTTTAGAAAGTGATCACCATAACTTGTCAAATGACCTCCTCTGTGGTCTAGTGGTCAGAGTTTCTGGCTACAGATCCAGAGGTTCTGGGTTTGAATCCCTGCTGTCAGATTTTCCGAGAAGTAGTGGGTCTGAAACGGGGTCCACTCGGCCTCGTGGGGATAATTGAGAAGCTATTTCAAGGAAATAGCGGCTCTGGTCTAGAAAACCGAAATTAACGGCAGTGGTGATTCGTTGCAATGACCACTCAACACTCTCTATCCGCTAAAGTTGGCACTAACTTTGCCGACAAGCAGTGGTCGCTAGGTCAGTATACTTGTCTTGCGGACTCAAGTCACGGAGTTAAATTGCCAAACGTTATGATATTCCTTAAAAGTTTTACAGGTGGGTAGGTCTATATAAAGGGTCCTATCTTATTCCTGTGCTGGAGGCATTTTGCTCTTGTACATATTACGACTTGAAGAACTTACTGGTCAATAGGCCGAGCCATAGCTCAAGCGGTTAGTCGCTGGCTTCCCATCGCGGCGGCCCGGGTTCGATCCCGGGTCTGGTCAAGTGTGATTTGTGGTGGACAAAGTTGTGTTGGGGCAGGAATTCTCCAAGTACTTCGGTTTCCCCTGCCAATCTTTATTCCACAAATTCCTCCACAATCACCCTCACCTATCATCTGGTGCTGGTACAATAGGCCAGAAGTGGCTGCAGTACAAGGGACTTAGTCCCACACCACTAGCAATAAAGAAAAATACTGGTCCATATGCAACTTTCGTGTGTCATATTTTTCAGTTTCACGTTTTTCTGTCCTTAAGATACAGTGCAGTGTATTGACTTGACTGTCTGCTCTTCTCCTGTTTGAACAAATTTTATTCAATGATGTTATTTAATATCTCGCTGGCTTTTATGCAATCTGTTTTGCATTAATTTTTAACCGAATATCGTAGTTTCATTTGACATCCTCACACGATTTTTTCATACCAATATAAAATTTAACAAATGTTTAATTTTATTTCCCTAAATAGTATATTTTAACTGGTCTTTAAAATCAAGATTAACGGCAGCGGAATCCGTTGCGTTGACCACGCGGCACCCTCTATCCGCTAAAATTTGGCACTAACTTAGATGACAAGCGGCGGTCTCTCGGTCGGTCGGTATAGTTCGCTTGCGGACTACAGACCACGGAGCTAAATACCGTTGAAGAATGTGTTGTATGTGCCTGTGAGGAATTTTTTCTTTACACTGCCTAGCAATAGACGCCTATGTGACATTTATCAGATTCCATGATTCTGACTTTAATTCTCATGTGGCAATATTTAACAGTCTGTTACAGGTCTTATCAGAATGCTAAGGGCCCTCATGATATAATTCCTATACGAGTGCATTAAAATTTATTTTGACACCAGCAGCAGTAGCAGCAGCAACAACAGCTGTACATTCTAAATCTATAAACTTTTTCTGAGATCTAAATATAAATAGAACTATTTTAAGAAATGCATCTGAAACATTCGATGTAAATAACAAATTCTTTTACAGTTCGAGTAGGAAAATGGGCCAAGTAAAGAAAAGATCACATTGCAGATCATCATGGACCTATGCTTATATCTGGAATACTAGCAAGATCATTTCACATATTTTTAATATGAGTAACATTTTGATTCACTTTGTTTCAGATTTGCCTGCAACAGTTGAACATGTGTTCCTCGCAAGTCTGACAAATATTAACTTATTTACTTTCTGAGTTTGGTCATGCAAATATGATATACAAACACATGCATAGATACACATTTACAGGGCCTGCCAGAAGGAATGCTGTGGTTTCACACACCCACAAGTCAGGAATGAAACAAATATGTAAGCATTAGTACTTGCAGTGTAATTTTAAACTCAAACAGCTTTACTGACACAAGTTGTAAGGGCACATTTTCTGTAGTTAACGGACAGCAACTTTGATTACGTGTTCTGCGTGATCAGTACAATATCTAATATACAGCAGAAAGTATAGACCCTGTTGTGGCATGCAAAAATTGTATCCATTATTCGAATTTAATGTGAATTTATTCATATTGTATATTAAGAATACATAATTATCTTTTAATATGTTAATTACCTTCGATATAATACTTGACAATGTTTTGAATAATTAAGACTATATAGCATTGAATTATAGGATATTTAGTGAATAATTAATTTTAGTGGATTTGGAAGGTAACAGTTGTGGTAAATATTAAGTTGTTTTCTGTACAGACTAAGTAAAACCATGTAAAACTTCTGTATATCCAGTCTCATGGCCAGATTATGATTTTGGACATCTGAATGCAAAGCAGGATTCTAGCACAAAATAGAGAACTTGTCCTTGGTGAAAATAATTATGATAAACAAGGGAACAGGTGGTTTTGGCAGCCGGCTTTGTAGTGATCTTGCACATTTTTATTTGTTTATTTGTGGTGTATTTAATAACGCTGTCATTAATGCCTACTGCAGTGTTGAATGATTCAGTGATGGTAGATAATGAATTACAGCCATACATCGGAGACATTGCAGGTTCGGTTCCAGGTAACCATAATAAAGCGAGTTACACGAATTCTTTTTTGGTTTCCCGGTGCAAATACTAAAAGTTATGTTTACACTATACTGTAGTCTGTTAAGTGTGCAATAGAATTATGCCTAAAAACAATGTACATACCTTAATCAAAATATATTATATTGCTAAAAATGCTAACCATTATCTGAGCTTTCAGAGAGTCATAATGTTTTTACTGAGGGGGGATCTTGCCTCGATGTTGATGGCTGCCGACTGATCAGGGTTGTGGTTGCTGAAGGTTGGGGTGGCTGTGGAAATTTCTTAAAATAAGGCAAGAATGCAATTTGCTCTTCCTTTCATGAAAGATTTCTCTGTGTTGTTTGATGGCATATTGCCCACAATAGAATTTCTTTCAGAATTGGAGTCACTCCTCTCAAACCCTGCTACTGCTTTATCAGAGGCCCAACTTTCGGCATATCTCGGCTTTCGACATGCTTTCCTCACTAAACTTAATCATTTCTAACTTTTAATTTAAAATGAGAGACATGCGATTCTTCCTTTCATTGAACAATTACAGCCACTGTAGGATTATTATTGGCCTAATTTCAATATTGTTGTGTATCAGGGAATAGGGATGGGGGGAAATGGCCGGTCAGTGGAGCAGTCAGAATACACGCAACATTTATGGATTAAGTTTACCGTCTTACATTGGCACGGTTCGTTGCCCCCGAAACAATCACTGATCACAGACCACCATAACATAATTCAATTCAATTCAATTCAATGCTTTATTTATTTACGTGCCGAACTCAACAGCGGAGGCCAATTACAGAGTCAGCACGGAAAATATAAAACAACAAACAACAGACAATAATAAAAATCAAGACAATACACACATAGATAATAACAGGTCAAAAACGTTAAGTATTTGGAAAATTAAAACAATTAACAGCAAAAAACTAATTGCATACTTAGCTCAAAAGCCAGTGACAAGTTAAAAAGACAGTGCAAATAGTAAAAAACAACCAAAAGTACAAAAATTATCAAACTAAACAATTCAAACTTAAACAAGATTTACTAAAAATGTCTACATGTTCGCAAACAAAATTTGCAGCAACAACACATCTAGCTGTGGGACAGCGACTGAAAGAACAGCTAAATGTAGAAAAATTTCGAATGTTCCGAGAAGGAACCCGCAAACCGACCGCATCAAGGACAGAGGAGCAATATGTTGTGCCTCTAAAAACATTTATTAAAAACAAAGCATCAATATGACGCCGTCTGACATCCAAGGTTTGCAGATTTAGTTTATCCAAAATACTAAAATAATGATAATCTATATCTTTAAAAAATCTATTATGACAGAGAGCTGCAAATTTTCTTTGTATACGCTCAAGTTTG